AAATTCTCTCCTGTACCATAATGTTTGCAGAATGAGCATGTTTAACTTTAATCATACAGTCTGTCCACCTGAAGCCAAAAGGGCTGTTCCCACTTGGGCTCAGGTTTGCTGTGTGAACACAAATTCTGTTGCCCTGGTTGTCTGCAACTGCAGATTAGGACAAGAGAATATTTTCTCTGTTTTGCAGTAATTTGTCCCATAGTTCCAATGACTGTCCTCTTTTTATCTTTAATTGCCGCTGTGCACGATTAAGTAGCAATACCATGACACTTAAAGTCACTTTATGGTTGGTGAGGCAACCTCATTTTATGGGCAAAGAAAGATGTGGTTACAACCTCGCAAAGAAACCCGTTTATACAAAGTCACATCAAGAACTTCTTTCATTTAGGTTAAAGGATCAAGTCCTTAACATTTGAAAATACACAATAAACACACAACAGTGCATCACTGAATATGAAGCTTAATAAAAATACAGCCTGGCATTTACATTAAAAAGGCTCTAAATTTTTTTCTTCACAGGTAATTAGTTCACACAATGAAATAATCTCCTTTCTTATCCTGGAAACACATGCATAAAACAGCTCAGATAACATCATTTACATACAGGCTGCTGCATCTGCATGTTAATGTCTGGCAGTGAAAAGTTCAGACAAGTTTGTAATCCCCGATTTCCTGCGCGTGCTCAGCACCCAGATTCCCAGAAAGTCAGAAGAGAAAGGGATACTAAATATTACTAAGATGACAGGTCAGCTGCAGTTCTGCCACATCTGCACAGCTTGCAAGTTGCACAGTTTCTCAGCCCACGGGACCTTTGACAGCTTTGGATCTTTTTTTTTTTTAACCTCATGTTGCTATTTGTTCCTTTTGTCAGCCCCTCGCGGCCATGGCGATGATCCTGAGCCCATTGTGCCGCCGCCGCTGGCTTTGTCCTCGTTACTATATCGGGCGGTATTGGGACCGATCTGCATTCCCATTTAAAGCACTATCATGTCACCCATCAGCGATCCTTCGCTTTCATCCCTTAAAAACTACCGCACAATGGCAGCCACGCCGTGAGGACAAAGGCACAGGCAGAGAGGGAAAAGGAGGAAAGCTGCAGTGGGAAGGCGGCAGCAGCAGCTACAGCCAGGCTAACTTTGTTCTCCCGGGGTCCTTCTGGGTGAGCACTTGAACTTGGACTGATAACATACGTGCCCTTCATCTCCTGCTTCCCCTCCCAACACAACTTATCTTCCCAGTGCAGATACTGGAAGGAAGCTTAGCTTGGCTGCTCCTGCATCAAGGCCAACAGGTAATAACACTGTTTTCACAGCACAAGCCAGTGAGTCCGTGCCTACCGACAGCTGCAGGAGAAAGGGAGGGCTGTGGGGCTGTGGGAGGGAAAGCCTCCTCTTGCAGTGATATTGATTGCCAGCAGCACTTTTCAGAACACAAATCCTGCTTGCTGGGCATCCTTAAAATCAACAGCTCCTCAACAGCTGTTGCAGAAGGCCATCTAATCAAATTAATAGAAATCTGGTTTGCTGCATTCAAACATGCAGTTACAGCGTCCGAAGGTTTGGGAATTACCTTAGGGAGTCTGGAGTGCTTAAGCTTTAACTAGCATTCACTCCTGTATACTGTCATCCTCCTAATAGTTCAGAGCCATCAGCTGTAAAGAGATCTTAGACATCACAGGCTGCCTATGATTAATTGCCTAAAAATGCTGTAAAAGTTAGGGATTCTGTTCAAAGGTGAAATAACTGAAGTGCTCTAGCCTGGAACCAGCCAGCCAGGAAGAGATGTACAGGGTAATTCGTGCAGAGCACTTCTGTGAAATAGGCATGGCTCAAAGCAAGGCTTTAGAGTCCTACCTTTTACAAACATGACCCAGCTGTGCTCCTTGGGGTCCACAAGATTTTAATGAGGCAAAAATGATCAAAATGTCATGACCTCTGTTCTTCCTTGTCCTAAATTCTGGATGTTGGAAATGAAGCAGAGCTTAGCTAGGTTATATTTAGCTGATCACACAGAGTGGAATAGCTTTAGGAGCATGAAATAAGTGTTTTAAAATAAAACACTGTGAGGTCAGAGTTGTTATCCCCCCAATATTCCAAAGAATCAGCTTATAAAAGCAAATATGGTTTTCTCAGTGTTGCAGTCCATGAGTTATTAACCAATTCCTCTTCATTACAGACAGTCTCCTAAATGGCTGAGAGGCTGGTTCTTTGATTTGTAGCTGCTACCTTGTAAATAGCAATCACATTATCCAGTAAGTATTTATTCAAAATACTTACTATTTGTAGGCACAATGTACTAGAAACAGTAGCTGCAAAATATTATAGGTATGTTGGCACAGGCTAAGAAAACAGCCCAGAAATGTTATTCAAAGGTGATTTATGGTTCCAGGCAATTTCCCTGCTCACAAAACGACACCTTCATCTAATCCTCACTCCTACACAAGCTGGCTTGCATGCAGTACCAGCCCTTGCATGTGCAAACCCTCTGAGGCAGTCTCCAGGTAGCCAGAAACCAAACACAAAACGGCAGCAGCCACAAACATCAGAAAACATTCATCAGAAAGTTCAGTTGTCTTTTTCCCCCGCTGTCTAGATATGACCATTTCGGTGTATAAAAAGAATAAACCCAACAGCCGCTAACAGCTGCTTCCTAGACTGCTGCATGAGCATGAAAATACTAAAAAAAACACAAACCAACATTCATCTTGAAAGCTAAAACATCTGAAACAGCCTCCATGTTCTGGCAGACTTGGGAATTTACCAAGAAAGTTGCACAATACATAGCAGTTGACTACACATGTAATCAGTGTCAAGACCCACCAGAAATTCATATTGTAAAGAGGTGATTTATGAGTTCAGTTGCTGAATTTTGCCGTTTTTTCTCAACTGCTTTGAAATGTACTCTTGTCAATTAATAACACCTTTCTCAAATAATTTCTTATATATTTGTTTGTACCTACTAATTATTTTATTTCTAGCAATGTGACTAGTACTTGGAAAAAATTTTTTTTTTCCTAAGTAGCATTTATTGCTGAAAATGAGATTCACAAGCAAGTTACTAGGAAATGTTGGGTGTCTCACCTGATATGCTTTGGGCTTGATCTTTCAAGATGATAAGCACCTGCAGTTTTTAGTGATTCCAAGCAAGAAAGTGACGGCCTGGATTCAGCTACTTATGCAGGGGACAGACAGCTGTGGTATGGGAAAAGGCATTTTTTCCTCCACAATAAGGAATGTCAAGTATTTTATAAATAAGGCTGGAATGGGTTTAAAGTTGCAGAAGAGAGACCAGGACAGTACCAGTCACTTCACAGCATGACTCAGGACAGTTACCAAATGACAACTGATGAAGATGTACTTTTCTGAAAGTTTTCACTGACCAAATCTCTAAGCCACAAGTAAATCCCACTTGTTCTACATATAAAGTTAAACCTGCAGGGTCTGCTGTGTTTTGTTTTGTTGGTGGTTTTTTGGTGGTTTTTTTTTTTTTTTTTTTAAATACTTATTTCACCTTCAAAAGAGCAAGAGGGTGTTTCCATTTTTAGTCTGAAATTCTTTGAAGTGCTCCTCGTTCATAGAACAGGGATCTGGATAGAATTTGACAAAAAAAAAAATTTAATTCCTTATTTTAGGTTTGGTTTCAGTAATAAAGAAGTTAATGATATCACATCTGGTTTTGTCCAGATACACTCTACTTCAGTCCACTGGAAACAGCACCATTTGCTTACAGCTTTTCTTTCATCCCAAACAGAACCTAATCCAGCCTAAGTAAGTGTTCTAAACACATCCATAGCCAGGCTGCCACATGAATTAGCAACCACTGTGCTGATGTCACTTACCCATAGCTACAATTAAAGACTTTCTTGCAGTTTCACCACAGCAGCCAGATAATATTTAGATAGACCTTAGAAACATTTTCTTTGGCATACCACAGAATGAAGAAACATCACAAAAAAAAATTACCAAAACCCTCATTCCACAAGTAACATTCGAATGCTGACACATCTGGAACAGCTGGGTAACAAGTTGTGCGTGTCAAGTTCAGAAAGCAGCTGCTTTTAGCCTTCATTTTGGGCCAGGCATTTGTTTTCAGCCACCAGTATATTCCATTTTATTTTGTGGCAGCTTCTTCAGTGTTCCCATATGGACAAGCTAAACAGCTCCCAGGATATAACAGCAAGCATATATAACGTTCTTTAGAAGAAATGAAGGCCAGATGTTGCTTTGTTATCTCCACGTGCATCCTTAAAAAAGTTAAATTGTTTCAGGTATATTATTAATGCCAGGTATAGGCAATTTGTTTATCAGCCATTTAAATGTCAACTTTCTAAAGGATGGAAAATAACATTTTAACTGAGGAATCAAAGTGAAATAAGATAGAATAACTTCAGAAAATTAGTATAGCAAAATCCAGGATCACAGGGATCAAATAGTATTGTGGAGAAAAGACAGGATGACCCACTTCTGAGATCTGAATGAGTACTACTTATGGTTTATTAGAGAAGGAAAAAACAAACGCCTCCACCTTATTGTTATAATGAAAAGTTTGAGGTAAGACTTATCCAACAGCACCACTGATTAAAGATCTTTTATTCTGCTGCTTTACTTGACCAGGATAAAACTTAAGCCACCAGCTCAAGTTCTAGAGAATTTAGCAGATGTACCACTAACAGTGTAATTCATTAATGTTTTTCATGCATGTAGTCCTGGTACATCTAGTGGATCCAATAGGGTACACAATAATTCTGTCACAGTCTGTCCAATTACTGTGATTTAGATAGAAACGTTTCATTTTTTCCCCCAATTTCCTGAAAATAGAACCTTATTGGATTAATTTTATGACAGATTATTTATGACTAAATATGAACTGAAGACTACTCCCTCCCACCCCCAGTAATAATATAAACAAGGCCTGGGTTTCAACTGGGGTTTCAACTGCCCGGTGAGGTCTTTTTGTTTGAGCCAGTCCACAACATACAAAAACTGCCAAGACACCAACTATAACTTTTTGAGTAATGTCACTTTATTAAGGGACTTAAAAGAATCACATTCTCTAGTAGCCTTGGAACAATGCAAATGGTGAACAAAAGACAAAAATAGATGTAATTGGTTCTGAAAAGCATGAACATCTGTAGAGAATGTGTGGCATTATTCCTAAGGACTCCTGCTTTTGAAAAAAAGCACGTTCCATATATACAAGTGTCAGTGCAATAGCCAATAAAGCAATCAGTCAGAAATATAAAAATATCCTAGATACAAACTTAAAATAGATGTTTGAAAGCTGACCATATCAGTATTCTGATATTTCTATATCTCAGGAATATGATCATTGGGATGAGTTATTCTGATGAGGTAAGAAACAGTAGATGCTCTGTGATAACACAAAGCCATATTTTTTACTTCCGTAAGACAAAAAATAAAGCACCCAATGAAACTCCAAGTCTTTGCTGAAAGTGCCCACAGGAAGTGAAATTGTAGTCTATGAGCATTACTACATTCCTGCATCATTTATTTACCTTTGCTGTTTTTGCCAACAATTATACCAGCAAAACTTGCTAATTCTTCCATGTGGCTTCAATGTAAACTGCACATTCTTTGCAGATACACCAAACCTTTAATGCTTTAAACACAGCCAACATTTATAAATGTCCAAAAATCACTTAGTCATTCTTTCCTTTATTGGTTGCAATTCTTGGCAGCAAGGACAGAAAGACTGCAAAATTTGACAGCAAACAGAGCTCTCTCTCTAGAAGGGTTAGGGAGAGAACAGGGTGTGTCCTATGTGCTTTGCTTCAGGTGTTCCAGCGATACCCCTGAACTTAAACCTCAGCTGGTTGAGCAAAAAAAAAAAAAAATCGCATTCCTCTTCTTCACTTTGTTTTTTGGAAGGAAGAATGCACTAATTTAGGGCTCCTGTTCCAAAAAAAAAATCGCTATTTGGTCAAACTTTCAGATGGATGCTGTCTGCCTGCATCATGATTCATTTTCTTTCCTTTAGCCATCTCTTTCCCTGTGACTCTCCAAGCTTTGCTGCTAAATTCTGATTCCTATTTTTGCACTTTTCAAAGAAAATGGCAGAAGAACAGGTAGCCAGAGAGTGTACTCTGTGCCTTCGTAGCAACGAGCCCCAGGAACACGAACTCCTACTTGGGGAGGGGGGCAATGATAGAGTTATTTCAAACAATGTATTAATCTCAGGCATTCCTCTATGGAAAAGCACAATGAATTATACAGTCTCTAGAACAGCAATATTAACTTGATCGGGATATGATTTGTACGATAAAAAAAGCACAACAGGAGCTGGCAGTTGTCTTCTTGTGAAACTTGCCTTACCACTTATGGCACACACGTGCACCAAAGCACAGAGCAGTTGCCTGAACCTGTGAAAGATTCCTTAGCTTTAATTCCTACATTCAAAAGCTTTCCTTTAAATCTTTTCATTTTTCATCATTCTTTTCTAAACCTCTTTTGTCTCGGGCAAATTCAAACAGCTGTGCAAGGTGGAAAGGTGAAGCTGTAGCAACATCTGTAGTGTGACAACCCCAGATAAATCATTCCAGATTTTCTTTCAGTTTCTGGAAGATGCCTCGCAGATGCCAAAGCCTCAAGGAATCATCACACTTCTCTCCTTAACCCCACTGAACTTGGCAATCAACGTTATCAAATATTGAATGACTACTCACCACACCCCTGTTACCTCTCATGTAAACAGGCAGGGAATGGAGGCACAGAATGACTAAGTGATTATTCCAATATCACAATACAAGTCTGAGAGAGTCAGGAGCTGAACCTGTATGTCTTGTGTCTCAGTCTCAGGCTGTCTTTTTTGTTCTGTGTTGCAGCCTTATTCTTTCCCGTTGAGGAAGACTGGGATCTCTTAAGAGTCTGTCACTGCTACTCTGGTTGACAGGTGATGTTGCCAGTGAGATAGGAATTGTTGCATTCCCCACATCAAAAGGTGGAACACAGTGTGACATCTGTTTGCTGGAAGAAACACTAACCATACCAGTCCTTAAGAACATCAACATTTATTTAATATGATATAAAAGAAATGGGATATGAACATTCGTATTTGAACAATAATAAGTGGCTTCTTATACTTACATCATATGTGCTCATTGTATAATATATACACAATGAACATAATTACATTTGTACACAATCTAAGTACTGGATTGAAAACCTGCTTATTGCTGTACACACCCTAACCCCATGAAGGAAAAGCCCAGTACCTCAAAATACCTACACTCCATTTTATTCAAAAGTAACCACTAACATTAATGTCTATGTCGACAGAAGTGTGGCAGTAACTGCTGACATTGCAACCTGACCAAGAAATAATTACAGCAGAAACAGGACATATTTTACTAAGCAATAATAAAAATGGCACATTTTAAATATATCTATATGTATATATATATAAAAATTTTACAAATAAAATGTTAAAACAATAAATTGTAATGTTTAAAAAGTGTAAAACAAGTTTTAGTGGTGATATGTAAAATTAACCGAGTTATGCATCTAAAAGAAGCAAAAAAGTAAACTTATATGATCCATAATTAAAAGAACATTAAATTCTGGAGAATAGCAAATAAAGTTCTGACTGTAGGCTGCACATTAAAAAGAGCCTTTGTTTTATGTGCACAGAAATCATAGCAGCAAGCTGGTATCAGGAGAACAATCTGAAGGTTGTTGAGTGTACATGTGGGCCAGTTAAAGCTCTCTTGGAATAAACATTTTCCAGGAAGTGATAAAACGATGCTCTGTGGCCAAAAGCATCAGAACTATGAATTTCATAGATTTAAAATATACTGTACAATATCTTCTTGTATTTTCATAGGTCAGGTCCATACATCTCAGGCATGAATTGTTTCAACAGAAGTCGTTAGTGCTGAAAGACAGACACAGATTAAGTTACTCTATTTTAGCAACAGAATACTGTATAAAGCAACTCATGGGATTAAACACAGCAAAGAATGACCTCATCCTAGCAATGTAGGTGTAGAACATAATAAAGTATCTTAGGAATCAGTTGTTTCCAAAATGTGTTCTCCTGATGAATAATAATGATGCCAAGGTATTTCGACAGCAAGAAGCAAAACCAAGCTTTTTTTTTTTTTTTCAAATTTACACAACTTTGAATGAAAGTGTGCTTATTCTTAGAGTTTTATCCTCTAATACATGGTCATCCCCAAAATGTTCTTCATAAAAAACCAGCAATAATAGCAAAGATCCTAATTGCTCTAATAGATGACAGGCACAATTTGAAGAGGGATGCAGAATTATTTAGATGCTACACCGTAATGGCAGTGTAGCTGTAAAGGTATTCTGAAGTTCAAGTGCTCCACCCAAACTTGCTGAATTTGGTAATTGATGCTAGGACTTGTATAAATACCATTTAACAGTTAATTACTAAAAATGTTTCTGAGCTTTGAATCCAGGTGCTGTATAAAATGTCATTATCCCTACACTGCACAGAGGAAACGTCGTGCTTAAAATCTAACAGTGTTTGTGATAAACATACAGATTTGTCTCTGCACAGCAAGGACTGTGAAAAAGAAAGTAGCCTTGTGTTAATGGGTTTCTCCGTAGTGCTACAATATCCTGGTGCCACCAATTTCCTATGCCAAATTCCCCTGGTATCAGGCCAAGAGTGTCATTTTACTAATTGACTGTAAAAGCCAAATATAGGTATTACTTCTTTATTCTCTGAAATCTACTCTACATTTTCCAGATGCTGCCTGAAAAATTTGGTTGCATGTGAACAGGGCTGATCCCAGAGCTTTGAAGTTGCCTTTGCCACCCAGGACTCCCTGCATCTGAGAGACACTGCGAGGTCTCTCAGCAAAGCACAAAGCACTGGGAATCCTGGAACCACAGCCCCAGGAGGTGAGGGGCAGTAAACACCGTGCTTCACACATCTCCCTGGGTATGCTAAGCTCAGCTCATGGCATGAATTTGGGTTGGAACTCCTAGGAAACAATCAACAGAGGCATCAAATGCAGCAATGTGGAATGTGCATGCACATAGTTGAAAGCTTCTCCCAACTCAAATCAAACACTGAACAACCACAACGGATGTATTTGAAGTTCTGGAATCCTTTCTTCTTCATGAAGAGGCATGTGTGAGCAGGGTGTTAGTTTTACAAGTGCCATCCCAGATGTACCATTTTGTCATAAGCAGTTAAGGCCTCTTTGCAGAGCTGTCCTTGGCACAGAAACGCTGCAGTGTTGGCCATGGGGCCTACACCTTGCTGAGGGTGCCGAGGCTTGGGCAGTGAGCCACAAGGCAGGTCACTAAATGAGGGCTTTCCTTTTGCTGGTCTCATATTGAGCATAAATCCTTAAGAAAATGGATTTGCTGATCTGATCATTTGAGCTGATGACAAGAACTGAAAGCAACTTAATGCAACTGGTGATAAATTTCTGGTTGCTTCCCCTTTCAAGACAGGCGTGCTGTGGCCACGGACAGAATCCAGCAGTGCAGTTTCAGTTTCACTAATGACCCAAAATTGAGTTGCTGGGGGAATGTTTGCCCTATTTAAAAAGGAGATGCATGATAAATGTGTGTATATTCATATAGTGAAACTGAAATGCATTAACACAAATCAGCATTTCCAGAAAAAAGTCCCATTCGTCTTTTTTAAATAGATCTGTAACTAAAAATTGAATAAAAGTACAAAGGTTCAAACTAAATCTAGTCATGACAGACCACACCCATCAGGAAGGCAGCAACAGTGTCAGGACTGAATGTGAAGATGGCATTTTCCACTCTCTCGAAAGGAATAAAGATTAAAACAATTTTCCTTTTTTTTTTTTTTTGGAAGAGTATAAATAGTTTCCTGCCCTTAGTTCATACAATAAAGGTGCCTGGGATGACTAATAAGTCTAATATTTTTAAGATGAAAGCTTTGCAATGGCGATTGGGAGGGTAAATAAAAAAAATGCATTTTCACATCTCCTCACCCTAAATGACTGAAAATGTCTCATTTTTAAATTTCCTTGATTTTAAAGCTTTTTCAAGTTACATTAGCTATGGTATTTAACACTGCCATTGAAACCAAGCTCATTCTTTAAGTAGAAAGCTTATTTAAAAAGGTACTTCCTGACAACAAAGAAATGTGGATTGATTTAAATGCTGGCAAAGTGCTGAAGCATTCACACTGGTATCCTACTAATTTCGTTAAACCCTTGTATAAACAAACACGCATACTTGTATTTTCATTGCCATTCATTAAGTAGGTAACAGTACAGGTAGGAACATGTAAATCTAGCCTAACTCATGCATTCTAACGTGATTCTTAGAAGCAATCACCCACTATGACAAGGGCTTCCTCTATAGGAAGAAAAAAAAAAAAAAGAAGTTTTGCAATTGTTATGTTTCTTCTACCCTCATTTTTTCCCTTGCCCTTGTCACGCCTCAGTCACCTCTGTCTTAAGCTATAAACTCCCCAGGCCCTCAGACCGTCCCCTGCAGCACTGAGAGCCCAGGCTGCAGTTGCCTATTACCACGAGTGAAGCATCAAGATTCATTTGCACCTGTGCAGTGATGCTGATACCTTAACTATCTGCTTTGTAACAGCTCGGGTCTCTCATGTAATTCAAAGGGCCATTATCTTGCCCGTTGTGGAGAACTCAGCTTGATAAACCAATTAGCCCTTTCTCTTTGTACTTGGAGAGACAATACCCTCCTTGCCAGCAAATCAATACATGAATTTGTTTGTTTTTCTGGTTAGTTTATATTCACCACCGCAGGTAACTTTCTCTTGCTGAGTACTGCCTACAGATGTTTCCCAAGAAAACAACCAGAGTACATACACGTAGAAAATTATTAGGAACAGGAGGAGTGGGGGAAAAAAAAAAAAGACGTACTTCTCTGTAACTATACACACATGAAATGTGATCCTTCTGTGAGCTGTGTCTGTGTAGATGGAGCTGGTGACAATGACGATTCTGGTGAAGAAGGCAAACTTTTCACTGCGAGCCATACAGCAAAAGAAATAAATACAAAAAATACAAGTTACAGAAGCCGTAACAAATACAAGCTTGAAAATCGCCATTTCAAGCCACTGTACACATAAGCAGGAACAAATGAAAGCTACACAAGTAGAGACTTAAAATCTGATCAGCACAAAAAGCTCAACATCAGGGGGAGAAGAGCTGTTCTCAAGAAAGAGAGTTTATCAGACTTAGAAATAACTAGCAGAACAAATACATGAATGCTGATGTGTTATTTATGTTGCAAAAGAGAGGGAAAAAAAACCCAGTAAAATTCAAGTAGTTGGGATACTCTCCCAGACCCACCTTTATAACCCAGCTCAGAATAACTAAGGTGTTTTATTCTGCTGAGCACTACAAAATGTACATACAAGTTCTGGTTTTGATTACCAAGTCACAGAAAGGATTGCTGACTGTACTACAAAGGTCCAGATCACCTCTTATACCTATAAATTGAAGCATTTGGCTTATTTAACCATTCCCATCAGTAAATAATCCTAATAGTGTCCTAAATTCTATTTTCTTCCTTCCTCATCCCCTATTTACTCCCCTCTCTTTCCCCCTCTTTGAATACATTTTGCTTTATTCCAGCCTTCTCTTCTTGTAAAGCAGTACACCACCAGTCGTTGTACCAGTGTTTTCTGTTTCTTCCTCTTTTCTTACTCCTCAAAGCATGACCTAACTGGTGTCTTCTACTTGCTAGTTTAAAGTCTACTAGATATATTGGAAACTCTGGTGGATTCCACAATCTTGGGCATATCTGAGGCCACTCAGCAGCAAGGAGCAATGGTAAAAAAATCTATGCATATTCAGATAGAGATATTGTTTTACCAAATGAATAGGGAAGTGTTTGTTCCAACCAACAACTACAGTATGACTCAGTTTCTGGCAACAGTTATTAAAATCCCTAAAATTAAATGCAACTCTAAAATCTACATTAAAACCTCAGAAAAATGGAATTTCTGTAGCTGTCCAGTGGGAAACTATTTTTCTCTACATTCTAAAACTCTACACTTGACATGTAGACTAGCTCAGCACTTTCAATTCACGAGGGTTTCAGAGCATCAAAAGACATAACCAAAATGAAATAAACTATTACATATGTACTGTGTAAGCTGTGCTTCAGTCCAACTCTTTTCCATACCTGCTGTTGCCTGATTTCCTTTTGAAGACTGTGCTGCTAATTCAAATGAAGACATAATCCCTTCTTGATCTTGAACACTAACTACTTCACTTTCTTCTGAGCTGGTTTTGGGTTTGTGGTTTGTAACTGTGGTCACACTCTGCAAGCTGGTTAAAAAAAGCACAGCGTTTAGAACTCGCTCCAACTTAATTTCAGGTGTTAACCACTAAGTATAGGAGTTATAATTTAATTTTCTCCCGTTAACAGAAAAAAGGTGCAACTTGCAAGTCCATAAATGAAGCGCGTGTTTTGAAACCCTTCCACTTCGTGTAGTTACACTTAAAAAAAAAAAAAAGGCACTGGAAATTTAATTCCTTTCCTTACATACTCCTGCAGTTTCCTACTGCTGAAGGGTCCTGTGAGAAAGTTATGACCTAATGTAAGAACTCATTTAGGACCTGTAGTCCAACTTACACAGAAATTATGGATCCTTGGAGGGAAATATCCAAGATGTAATATCCCTCTAATTCCGCAATGCTCCGAAATAGTGAAGTAAAAATTAAAGCAGGAGATGTAAAATAAGATGTGCAGTTTGCTCCTAAATACCAGCAGGAAAGAGCTTGCTATGGAAGCCCTGGCTGAAGTGCTCACAGTTAACTGATACAAAGCCTGAACTGATATTATGAAATACATAACGAGGCCAAGCAAGGATTACGAACATATTCTGTTTATCAGTGGGGCAATATTTGAAAAGAAACACTGTTTCACCCACCAACTCATCACCTCTTACTGACCCCCTGCAGCAGTTAAGCTTCTCACCAGATTTCCCTATATGTAAACCACTCAGAAACATATAAATCTACCTTTTCAGTATTTCTGGCAGTTGCTTGGTCTGCTCAGCTAATAAATAAAATGTGCAATTTTAAAATAGCCTCTGAACATCTTGTTTTATTTTTACCTTATATCACCATCATGTGTTTCTTCCAATTTATTTTTCTTTTCTGCTTTCTCTTCATTACTCACTTCTTTTGAGTCAGATGCAACATGTGCATCTGATAAAAGATCATCAGTTTTTGACAGCTATAAAAAAATTGAAATCATGAAACAAAAAGCTGTAACACATACTAAGTGGCAGATAAGAAATACAGTACCAGGAAACAGTTTTATTAACAGACAAATTTTGCCATCATGTATACTTAGTAACTCAGAATTACATAACTTCAGAAATTTTTATCAATACCACTCAGGTTAATAGAGTTATCCTGAAACTCATACCAGAGCCAATGGGCAGGGCTTGACTAAATAACTTCCAGAACTTATCTGAACTCTTTGGATTGCAGCCTGCCTATTTTTCATGGTATCCATCTCTTTACAGTGCCAACAGAAATTCCAGATACTGGAATATATTGCTGATAAGGCTGAATGCTGCCCTTAAAGGTCTGATTAGATATAGCCAATATAAGTGTATGATATAATTTTCCTTTAAAAGATTTACATATTTAACAAAGCAACAGACTCTCAAGAGAAAGTGGTTTTGAAGAGTAACAGCAGAAGTTAGTTATTTGATTTTTTACCATTCTCCATCAGATATATGTTTATAAAAACTAATATAAAATAGGAAAACAAAAGGAAAAATTAGTGAGAAAAAAAAAGGAAAAGCAAAGGATGATTGAGGAATACAGATGAAGAAAAAAACCTCTACACAATCTTTTAAAAATACTAAACTGTAAGCAAGATATGATTATGCAAAAACAACTCCAGTAATACATTCCTCACAATCAGTCTGGTTTTGCTGAGTGTTCAGGGCACTTTAGTACCAGAAACACTGAGGTAATTCACTGCCAGGTGAGTTTGAAACTATTTCAAGACAGAAATCGAATCAGTGACCAAACAGCACAAAGTACATTTATTGCCTACTTCCACGTGTAAATTGTTGTGTCACCTTTATTCTGCTTTCTATAAACTATCTGATGCACTATAGCCAACCAAACAAAAGTTCAGGTGTATTAAATGATTGTCAAATACTGGGACAGCCTAAGCAATGAACAGAAACCAACCATTATTATTTACAAGCCATACACGAGAGAATTCAATGTCTCAGCTGAAGACAGATCTGATAAAATCTTACGATTATCTACAGAATATTGTATATACAAAAAGAAATCTTTATTTTCCAAGCAAAAGGAACTGGCTCAATTTCCCACACTCTGCTGTCTGTGGCTCAAAATAGTTTTCTACTGCAAGACAGGGTGATGAACAGTTCAATAAGGGACAGTTCAGTACCTCTTTAGTAAAACCTGAATTATGTTCTTGTTCTCCATCGTGTTTTAGTTGCGCTATTTCTTCTCCAGGACTTCCATTATTTTGTTTGAAATTATTTTCTCTACTGGTGCTCTCTAATTCCTTCATGTTACTATATACAGGATCATCCTTTTTTCGATTCTGTGGAACAAAATTGATATACAGATGTATTCTTAGAAAAGTTGTCACTGTCTCAGTTCTGAGTAAGTCTGGTGGTGTTCTCTGACTGTGATAAAATCAAATACTTAAAAAACCTTATGTGTACCACATTGCAATAAGGAAAATGGAAATTGTTTAGGACTTAAAATTTTCTCATTTTTGTACCTTTTAATACAGTTCAGCCTAACACTCCTTTGTCTGTAAGACTATTGTACTTTCTGTGCCCCCCCACTTCATGTCCAGCATTTCAATGTCACCTTTATCTTCTGAAATTTTATTCATATTTAGCTCAGTCACACACAAGCTTAGTAGCATTCTTACTTGCATTCATAAGCACTGTTCTTTTATAAAATAGCTTTTCTTGGCTAAAAAGAAGAAAAAGGATAAAAATCTGCTTTCAGCACAAAATTCACAGTGCACCTGTGTGCACTTTCTCCAATTATCTTGGGTATCTTCCAAGTCTATGCTGTGAACTGATTTAATAAAGGACAACATAGCATTTGATAATGGTAGAGGATATTACTTATTCCTTAAAAAAATCCATTGCACAAAGAAGTTGATATAAAAATTTTGTGGAAAGATGGTAGAGGTGGCTTAAGATTGTGAACTGTGAACATTATGTTGGCAGAGTAGCAAACTGAACTGAAGTGAGGTTCATCTTATCAAAGAACTGGGGCTGAGAAAAGTGGGGGCCATAAAAGCAGTAAATCTTACAGCTGAATTCCTGTGATTTAACACATGCACACTATTAAGAGGAAATTCCACGTAAGTCAGTCCATAAATCAATCTCTTTACTCTCCTAAATTAAAGTCTGCATCCTTATCATATGCTGTTCCCAATAACAATTGTGAAGCAACTTCCTTTTGTATTATGGTAATCACTTAAAAATTACACAGCAGGCCATTTATAAAATCCATTTTTTCCTACAGTTCTTAAATAACCAAACCACAGACGAAAAGACTTCCAGTGGTTAATGCCATTGCACCATTTTTCTAAAAATCAATAGACATAGAATCTATGCTTTTAAAAATAAAAAACTATTACCACAGCATAATACCTCATCTTGGGGCTTTTTGCCAAATAGCCCCGTGGAAGAATTAAAGCCGTGGTAGGGAAAGTGACTTTGTAGCATGGTCTGCTAGCTAAATATTCAATTCCGACATCTTCTCACGCATTCTGTAAGTTTCTTTATCATCCACAGAGCCCTGATTTCACACAGAATGCTGAAGGACGCACTGGCATGAACAGAACCCTTCTGAGTTCTGCCATAGAAGATTTGGCCCCTTCCCCCAGTGTGGTGGCTACCCAGATATGACAGACGTGGCTGCAGCTTCCTCACCTTGAGGTAGGAAACGATACCACAGGAAAGCAGCAAAGCTGAAACACCCCCGGAAAAACTACCAAACAGAATCTGCAGAGGTTTGCTTTGCACATCCCCTTTTTGAGAAAGGCAGTGTTAATCACAAAAGTATTTCTAGGAACTCCCTTCATATATAGCATTCATGAGGTCAGCCCCGATACTGAGTGCCTTCTGGGGGATCCAATGTTCTCAAAGGAAAAGGAACTTTTGTACAGCTCTGAAGGCAGCTTAGCATGCTCAGAGGAAAAAAAAAAACATCTAAAACTTATTCAGAAATATGTGACTGCTTAACACTGCAATGCATTTAATCTGGTTTTGGAAAATCAGATGTTTAAATGCCTACAAAACAAAAAAGAAGGCATTTCCATACCAGTGTAAAAAAAAAAATAATAAAAAACCCCAAATCAATAAACAGCGTGGTCTGAAGAAAAAACTATGCCAGAAGATTAAAACCTCAAACAAACAAAAAACCCCAACCCCATTAAGCTATTGAAAAAGAAAACTACTTCTTGGCAGTCAGAAAGTAGTAGGTTGCCTAACATCCACTATCCTGAATCTGGATTTAGTTGGGCTTTTGTTTTTTGTTTGTTTGTTCGGGTTTTTTTAGATAAATATTCAGGATAGTATTTCCTGGTTGAGGACAAGCACTCATAGCTTCCTTCTCTCTCCCTACCCTTTACCTTTGAATAAACTGTGAAGAAGCAAGTTTAAGAATGAGTGAAAACAAAAGTGCACATTCTATTTTTATGTATAATTTATGAGCTCAAAAACCACAGCAAAGGAGTACCAGTTAGGAGCCATGACCATAAATATACATTCCTACCTAAAAATGTTACAGATGTTCGAATATATTGCTTTCAACATCAACTGAACCATGATTCTCTTGATACTGTTTTTAGTCACAAACCTTGCAATTTCATATTGTCTGCTAAATTCAAAAAAGAAAAAACCAACAAAACCCTCTGAACAAACATCACAACGTATGTAGATTTGAACTATTTATTTTCCAAAAAGACAAAGAAGAATCACTTCTGTGATGAGGGTGTAAGCACAAAGATTGTTCTCTCCCTTTCTTTTGGGTCTGGTAGAGAACTGTGACTCCACACAAGCGGCCTCAAATAGACACCTTTGGTGTTTAACTGGACACATGAAAGCTTCTGATCAACGTGGGACCCACCTGTGCCAGTTTGAATGGGTTATCTCGGACATACGACAAGCTCTGTGAAGGAGACTGGTCTGAAACGCCAATAATATTGAGTCCTTTCCTCTTTTCTCTCAGGCAGGCTTGTTGGTGTCTCTTTATTCTTTCCATCTGTTCCTCCACAGTCATTCGAGGCCGTGAGCTTTCTGCAAGACACAGCTGCTCCACTGCACTTCTTGGTCTTTCCTTAAATGGAAGAAAATGTATATATGTGATTTTAAAAAACACGATTTCCAACTTAAGAAGAGATCACCTAATGATTTACTAAGAAGCAGAAAAATAATGAGCAAATAAAGACCTCCTATGTATGTGAAAAAAAAGTACAAACCCCAATTAATATTAAATGAACATCAAATTTGAAAATAAAAGGAAGGAATGATTTGCTTTTTTAAGCAATAAAATTGCCATCATCAATGATAAACATTAAGAGAATGGGTAGATGCTCTCTCAAAGCCATCCTCTCAAGCTAAAACAATTTACCAGACATTATACAACTGGCAAACACGAGTTATTTGACTGAGACAGAAACATAATTGAAATTTAATGATCCAGGACATTTATACCAGTTGATCTAATAGTGATTTCTACCTTTTTATTTCAAGAAAAACTACAGCTGGGTATCATTTAACAGCAAGTGCAGGCTGAAACTAAGTGAATTTATCACCACTTAAAAATCTGTAATTCTAAGCATTATATTTTTTCCAAAATAACAACCATCACTTTACCTACTTTCTTCTTGAAATTCACTGATTTTCAGGCAGATCTGTACTTTGTATGACAAATAAGAATTGACTTCAGGCTAATCAGCTGCATTCACTACATTCACAGTAACTGCTTTCATTGACAAAAAGTGAAAGTTCTTTCTCCAGTCAACATCTCTCCTCTCCCCTTCTTCCTACAACTTCTCCTATCTCTGCTGCAACTAAGACAAGTTTTCCTTTTACTACATATAAATGCCTGTCTTTAACCCAGAGACTACAGAACTCTCTAACCTGAAATTTCAGGCTTATTACCTGCATGCTGCTTACTGTATCCTTCTTTTTTACTGCTTTAGGTACTTCCCAAACCACTTTAGAAACTAACTAAATAAAAGTCAGTATTTGTAATACAGGGGCTGTGAAACTGCCCCAGAAGCCAAATACAAGTCCTTCAAAGTTTTAGTCTAAGATGCTTCATATCCTTTCAGCTCATGTCTCAACTTCAGCAGCTTTAGTGCATTTTATCATTACCATTTAGTTGCTGCCAAGTCTGTCTCCGTGCAGTTTAACATACACAACATGTACAATACTATCATCCTTCCTACAGCTGTCTCCATTAACTTAGTATATGATGCTTTAATAACAGTCATTTTTTTTAACCTTTTTTTTTTAGCAAAGAAAATTAAAAAGATAACGTCAGCTTTTGGAGTAACTACAGAACTTAAACTTGGCAAGGTTGTATTACTGTCCACCAATGCTCGAAAGCTATTTTTAAGTACCGTTCTCAGATCTATCTTCTTGTTCTTCCTCAAAGTGACATAGGATGCTATTGTTGAAGACTCTGGTGTTGGTGACTTGGTTCTGGGTGGTACAACTCCCACAGGAAAATGTGAGCCTGCAAAACAGCAAAGCAAAACATACTAAGTGTTGTGCAAAACACTGCCGAAACTGTCGACTTGTCTTCTAGGAAATACATGTTGGGAACTCTTCCTCAACAGACAGCAAGGATCTTAAATGCCTAACCTGTGTGTGTTTTAAGGAAAAATAGGCCCTGGCCTGAGGTTGCATGAATGGAACAAAACACAGGGAACGACTGCACGTGGCACAAGAGGCTGCTGGACATAAAAATAACAGTGAGGAACAGACAAATATTAGACAGCCCTCGGTGCAGTTCCACAGATGGCCCAGGGAGAATTACAGGGATGATGGCCGAGCTTCACAGCTCATGGACGGCCACGCTGGGACTTTTTATGGAGCAGAGTTTGCGAGGCCAGCACGATGCCCAGGTGACCCTACCAGTGCTGTCACTTCAGGCCAGGCTTACAAGATTGCAAAGTGTCAAAATACAGAATTTAGCAAAAGCGGGACCAAAGACAAAAAGTGATTATATGTGGGTTGCTTATTTGGGCAGAAACAAAGGCTGTGAAAGGGAGAGGGCAAGGGAGTTGGGAAAGAACAAGGATAACAGTTGGAATAACAGAGAGGAGGGGGAATAAAAGGGGCCAGCTTTGCATAAGCAAGCTGCTTGCCATTGTGCTTGTCTGGTCAAGGCCCATGCTTTAGCACTGCAGAGTGTCCTATCTTCTTATGTGACTTTATTCTGTAAAGTATTTTCCATTTCCTCTGTGGGTATGTTTTCCCTTCAATGTGTGAGAGGTGCCAGCGATCTTCAAGCCAGGTGAGCTTGTGAGTAGCACACAGCTCAGAGATCTGGGAGCCAAAAATGTAAAAGACTCTGGGTCTGGGGTGGGCTACCAGAGGAACCCTACGTCCAGACCTGCTACCAGGGTGGAGCTTCTGTCTGCGAGATCCTAATGAACTGAAGGCCAGAGCAGATGGCAAGCAGAACACACAGTGTGGGAGCCACCTGCCCAAGACACCTCAGGTCTAGGATTTGGAAACTAGAGAGGCCAGAGGTACTGAGAGCTGAATGGAGATACCGTAAGTCCAGCAGCTCCTGGGTGGACTGACTTGTGTGTGTGCTTCTTTATACATGCAGGAAATAAAACTATGAAAAATATCATTTCCTTGATGATTTTGCCTGAAAAAGCTACATATGATTTCTTTAACAATCACATTATTTCTACTTGCCTTTCTTGAGGTTTCACAGATTTATTGATATATTGATTCAATGAAGGTTCATCTCTTTCTCCAACTGTTTGATAGGCCTACAAAATACTCTGGAGGTATGTGAATGCCCTTGAGTGAAATCCATCACTCAAACCAAAATCTGTAAAGCAACAGTTTGGGTCTCCTTTAGACATAAAAAGGATAAAACACAGCAGAAGTTCATTTTCTTTTTGTGTCACCTTTATGTACTACACAGGCCATAAATATTCCTCTGGTCTCAAGACAGCTGTAAGGATTACTTTACATAGTCCCATTAAAACATTTTTCCTTGTTTGCTGATGTTTGAAAAGAGAGAGAAGACGGACACGAGAATTGTTCAGTACAGCAATGTGCACAATGAGCTAGGAAAACATTTTTAATTTTCCTCTGAAATTCATTAACTTTTAGAATCACTCTCAAAAAAGAAACTACATCATTTAGGTACGACTTCTTAAAACAGCAAGGAACAAAAAATGTAGAAGATGAACTGCCTTTGAGTTTAAAAACTGCTAAATAGAATGGCGTAAAAATGTAATGGCATATACACTCTAAAAACAGCCAAACAATCAGGAATGGTTAGATTTTTTCCTACTGCAAGGGGACTGTTATCGTGAGTAAATGCCCAGAACAAGAAATATCTGCTAGAAAATTCATATGCTCAAGTGTGTGGACTGGATGATAAAACACAGATATTATAAACAACAGAATGAAGTGAGTTTAAGAATACAGAAAGTCTCTCATTGTAGCTATTCTGTCCCCCACCTCTAAATATTATTTATATTAGAGGAATTTGTATTATTGCTTTCCCTGACTGCTTTTCTACAAATGGACATAATAAAACTATTTCTGTCTTTTAAGATAGAAAGCAGACTGGGGTGCTCAAAAAGTATTGGGTTTCTTTATATGGTCAGTGTAGGCTTTGTTATTTTATCTTGATCATTACTTTATCTCTTGTCATAAATTACTATGAGTAATCTGGTACATCACAGGTCAATAAAACCTAGGCATGTTTTCAGAAAGGCAAGCTCCTCAATTAAGTTGTTTGATGATTAGCAAACCTCAGGCTAAAGCTAAACCTTGCATTTTTTTCCACCAAGTTAATAGAAACTTAATATATATCTTAACATTCTATCTCAGCAAATACCACAGTGAATCTGAATTGTCTAATTGTCTGGTAAGTGCAAGTTTAAATGATGTCATAAGGCCATTCACACTGTTTATACTCAAGCTATGCTAACCTTAGTTTTAGAAGCCTCCATTTACCATTCTGATGAAAACAATATCCTTGTATGATCATAACTCTTGGTAAAATTTTGGTACCATTGCACCAGCCTGCTCTGTTAATGCTGAGTCAAACTCGCAAAACAAGAGGCAAGGATCCTGCTGGCACTGGAAACATCAATCCTTACAGTAAGAAAACCCCTAAATTTAGTTACTTTCTCTCAAAGCTCTTAATATGGTTTTTGGGAGGTGCTAAAGCTGAGCATTTTCCTGAAGTCACCTTTAACAAACTATTCTGTGTGTTTTAACAAACAGAATTGAGAAGGACTTCCTGGTAAAAGACTCTACCAAGCAATTAGTAGCTTTTATGGAAGCTAGATGAAGAGAAGAATCTAAAGCATTTAGCAATTGCAAAGACCTTTATTGTCTGTACACTCCAAGGTCATGATCATTATTCCTATTATATCAGAGGACAGAAGGCAATTCAACAATTACAAGATTAAAAAAAAAGAAAAAGACATTGTTTCCCTGCCTTATGAGAGCCTGAAAATTCTGTGGTGCTGCCTTTTTGGACGTTCCAGCGACATAACATCGGGAGCTTGATTCAAAAACTGAGTAATTGTTCAAGGGCAAGAACATAAAATGGGTAATTGTTCAAGGGAATGGTGTGTGGGGAATGTGAGTGATGTGATTAGACATGGTGTCAATAAGGATTTCAGGGTTGTTGGTGAGTGTAATGTTTGATTTTTCTGCGGTGTAATTGACTGAAATCTTTCTCGTCATATAATTAAATCATTATTTTATTGTGGAAGCTGTTTCACCAAACTGGGAAATGGACAGGCTACAAAGATACAAACCATGATGCAGCTTCTATAACACAGTTAAGCTTTGTATTCCTTGTGAAAAAACCTGAAAGGTTGTAAACAGCACACTCGGGGACAAACCTTTAGCAGTAGATTCTGACTCTGACATTTGTTCTGTTTTTTCTTCACCATTAGACTCATCTACTTCTGCTACTGTGGTTAACTCCGGCTCGCTCTTATAAAGCCTATAATCAGGACCCTGAGGAACAACAAGTTATGAGGTAAATAAACAGGCATTTTTGTACAAGTATTCATGTCTTAAGACTCAAACCAGTTGTTCTGTGATGACTCTGCCCTCACTTGAAGGCAGTGTTCCATTGTTCAAGTGCTACTGCAGAAGTGTTTCTTTGCCTTTAATTTGAGTAATATTTGCAGACGTTCAGAAATTACAGAAAAAAAGGCCATAAAAATGCAGAGTTGTGGGGTTTTTAAATGATCTTCCTGAAATAAATTGGTATAAGCTTCAAAAACTGAGCCTCCACAGTTTTTTAAGAGCTAGCAAGGAGAAGAATCTAATTTTCTGAAATGTACTCAGGTACAAAAAGTTAAGTCTTAAGACATTTTACATATGCACAGAATATATGACAGGAAAATGTGAAGAGCAAATGATGTGGCTGTAAATAAAACTAAGTAAACAAAAGCAGAACCATAACACAGAAGTAGAACCATAACACAAAAGTAGCTGGATGAGTAAATAAAAACTGTGACTGCATAAACGATGGAGGATGCTTCAAGAACAACGTGGCGGTTTAAGCCACTTACACAGTAAGATCCATTTCTCTGATATCCTTGAACTTGGTAAATCTTCTTTTCTTCTGTCAGATGTACTGGGCCCCTGCTATAACAGAGCAAGGAGCTGCTATCACTGGGCAGAGGGGGGATTATGGGAGGATGCTCTGTAAAGTCATAGGACCGAGGGAGTGGAGGACGAGGTGGGACTACTTCCTCTTCCTAAAGATTGTAGAATAGTCACCTTGTTTAGATGTGCACACCTGTTACAATTATTTACAACTTAAAAAGAAAAATATATTACCATGGCTACACCAGCTATAAATTTTGGAATTAAAGGGACAATGTCACATTTAAATAATGAAAAAAGAAATTCTAACACCTGCACTTCCTGTTGGATATGTATGAACTCCCTAAATCATCCTTATAAAAATTAAATTCATTATCTTTTTAAAGATTTTTACATAAATTAGACTTTTAGAAGGTTCTGTAAGCCAAATGTATTTTGCATACACTTCAGATAACCATGACAATGTCCCTTTAAAATGGTAACTTCCAGCCAGATTTTCAGAGGACTTGAACATTTGGGAGCTCCCACAGTTTCAGCTCCTCTTGTGGGTGCTCTGGCCATCTGAGAACCCAGCTCAATATTTGAATAGACATAAAAAGCAATCTATTTTTTCCCATGAGAAGTGTGGTGGGTAGAAAACAAATCTGTAAATCAGGGTTTATATTTCTACAGTAACAGCCTAAGGAGAGGAAAAGGTGAGAAATGGAAGAGAGAAACACAGCAGTGAGAATATCAAGACAGAACAAATGAAAGTGTTAGAATTACTAGTGGAGCTATCAGTTTTTAAAACTAGTTCATAATGCAATATTTTCACAGAAACATACTGAATGCATATTTCAGACATCCTTAAAATATTTAAGATGTTTATTTTTATCATAGCTATATTGCAGATTCAGTGATGCTAAAATAGTAAATATGCTAAAACCATACCTCATTTTTATATTTAATGGATGAAAACGTCCTTGAAACCATGATGCCTGTTTGAGGGAAGGGGGAAAGGTGTAGAAAAACAAAGAGAAAAAATGTTTTCAATACAGAGCTTTTAAAATATGAGCTACAACCTGTTGCTATCAAATTACGAAAAGCATCAACTTAAAATAGATGATTGCTTCCTTCTTTTCTCAGTAATCATGCAATATTTTCAAACATAAAAACAACGATGGAGCTTTAGTTTAAAAATGTATACGATCCAATTTCATTCCCTGTGAGATAAAAACAATCCGTTTACCTGCCTCTGAAGAGTTTCTTTGCTGTTTATGTTTAAGTAAACCCTCCATGACATCCTGAATTCTCCACAGTTCCTTCTGAATCTGAGCACGCTGTATCCCTGCTGACTCAGTCTGTGAGTAAACAGCACATATTGGGCAATACATTAGAACATCTTGCAGGTGAAAAATACAAAGGGAAAACCTTTTTCTTTCTTTGGACTACACTGCATATCCTTTCACAATGAAGGAAAATAAAATACAGTAATGACACTCTCCCAAAGAGGTGCAACATGCAAATATTGCCCAGAACAAGAAGTGTAAGATTAACTAATTTCATAATGCATCGGTTAATTTGACAGCAATCTGCTAGCTCAAACCTCACTTTAAAAAAACGAATTTTATCTACTGTCTCCAAAGAAAATCCAAGCAAACTTTGCACAGGAGACCTATGGACAACAACAGAACAGGAACTGTCAGTTGAAACCCCAAAACAGGTGGAGATGAACATCACTGGAACAGAAAGAGGAAGCTTCCAGACACAGGAAAACCAGTGCTATAGCTTCAAAAAAATAGGAAAAGCTGAAGACTTCTTCACAACTTACAAGGTATAAAAATAAAGTAAAAGTTTGTAAGTAAATGCACCCACATGTCCACCTTTTTTCACTGATGTAGTTTTTAAACAAACTCATAGAAAATCAAAGTGAATTAAGTGTACTTTAAGATCTATGCCACACCTGAATTTCTCCGAGCCGATCAAGTTGCTCCTGCATATGGTTCCTTGTTACAGTTACATCATACTCCAATTTATCATATTCTCTCCAAGCTCTTTCCAGTTCCTAAGTATGTACAAAAGTAAAGAATTACAGATGCACATTTAAGTTACAAAAACCAACCAAACAAAAAAACAAAAAAAAAGGCCAAACAAAATTTTTTTCTATTTCCAGTGGCATGAGACTTCAGGAAGTAATGAGTAAACAGACAGCGGCAATAAATAAAGATGTAATTTAGAGAATGAGATGTTTAAACAGCTTTTTGATTTTCTAATGATACTAAATGGAATTCAAACAAGCAGCATTTTGTCTTTTCATAAACAAAAAGGATAAGCAAGGGAAATTCTTCAGAATACGTCTTTCTAGTCAGCAGGCATGTGGGTCTTAAGCTGCCTCTCCACTGAGGCAGAAAACCCACAAAAATGGATGCAAATTTGTGTCTTTTATCACCCAGAATACACGTGTGTGAGTGCACAGCATGTGTGTGCATATGCAATGCATTATGCAGGACAAATGTAAGTCATCCAACCCTGCCTGTAAAGCTGCCTGTGAGTGCCCCAGGCCCACTAATACAACACTGTTTTACAAAGGTGAAACTACAATCACCAGAAGGAAAAGGTGGATTAAAAAAAAAAAAAAAATTCTTCTTTGAGGTCAGCTCTACCATCTCGCTTTTGCAGCCTACATCAAGCAATTTACTCAGTTTAACATAAATTAAAAAGTTAATGAGGGAAAGTGTATCTTGAGGATTTCCTTTCCCCTGGTTCCCTTCTCCTTGTCCAACCAATTCCTTTCAGAAGACAGTCTAACATTCAGATTAAAATCAGTATTTCAGCCCCTACATCGTATCAATTTCACCACAGCTCACCACTGGAATTTGACACTGAAATATCTTTTTTTTATATATATATATATATATAAAATATATATTTCAGTAGAGAAAAACAACTCTTTGCCTTGTCATTTCAGTGCAGAAACCATCACAAAGTAGAAAAGGACAGCAGACAGCATTTTCCTTCCTTTCCTTTTTTTTTTTTAAAGTTTTTCAAAGTGCGTAGCTTGAAAAATCTTTTAAATACAATGGCCCACTAGTAAGAGAGACCATGACGGTATAATTGTTTCTTCTTTTCACCTGGCAGCTGCTTCTGCTTAAAATAAGTCACCAATCTGCTTGAATAAAGTTTGTTTGCCACCACGTGAAATTTATACGGATGATAATTACCACACCAATAAAGTCAGTATGCACCCCAAAAAAAAACCAACCCCAAACAAAACAAAACAAAACCCTACACCACAACAAAAAACCAAAACAAAACCAAAAACAAAAAAAAACCCCGAAAAAACCCACAAAACAAAACAAAAAACAAAAACAACAAACCAACAAACAAACAAAAAAAACAAAACCAAAAAAACAAGAAGAAGAAGAAAGAATACTTGAATGTAGTCTGCCTTTGGCAAAAGTACAGACAAGTAAAAGATAACTGAATTTTGTTGGAATGCAGTAAAAACTAAGCAAAGACAACCCAATTAAGGATATGAATGTAATCATTTCACACTTTGAAGGTGTTACTTACTGCAGTAGCTCGTGATACTTCTCGGCAAGTGCTAAGGAGTCCGTTCTGCAAGTCATCTCTCTGTAAGACCACATTCTGTATGGCTGCGGGATTATCTGCATTCATTTCTATCTCCTGGCTTGCTGATAGCAAAGCTTGCTCAAGCGTGTACTATTGTAATAAAAAGAATTATTTTTAATGTTCTGCATCATTGGGCTGATTTTCGTTTTATTTCAGTTATCAATGTTCTGATAATAAGCATGTAAAATAACAGCCACTTTAGGTAATAAATACAATTGTCCTACTTTCTCCTTGTGCAGCTGTTGAAGCTTCTCCTCCAGTGCTTGCACAACTTTATCCTGTTCACATAAACGGCTAAGCTTAGCCTAGTACAGAACACAAAATTATCACAATTAGCATTTTGTTATTTACATCTTCAGTAATCAAAACGTAACTTGACTGAATCATTACATGAATCTATATAAAATGTTATTAAAACAAAAAATGAATGCCATAATTATGAAGGCATCAGGCTTACATTTTCAAATTACTTAAGAAACCCTCTTAAGAAACTATGAGTAAGCGTTATTATAACTTAAGAAACAGCACAGCTCAAAACATGCAATTTATGATTCTACAGCTAAATCTTTACAACTTAATAACAGGTATTAAATACCACTTTAATTTACATATTGCTTAGTATTATAAAGACTTTTGTACATATTCACAGTCTGTCCTGTGGCTTTGCAGGTGACAGTTTTCCACAGTTTCCATACGAGCACCACCCACATTCTTCTCTGACTTAGCTCCGATTGAGGCTTGTCTATGACTGAAACAGTTTCACTCCACCTCCACTCGGAGCAAATAACTGCTCAGTGCACTCCAACCAATTTGAAACAGTTTACTTTTCTATTTGAACAACCTTTTGGGTTCAGTTTATGCTACTTTGCCTTTTTTTTTTTATTCTTAAAATAACATCTCTTGAATCATTATGTCCACTCTTAGCTGCACTGTGCAGGAATGACTAGACATGCATACACAGTATGACTATGTGTGTATTTTTCACCACCAATTTTACACCCTTTTCTTTAGTCCCCTTTTCTTTAGTAATTAACAACCCAATACTCTGAATGGTAACTACCTGTGCAAAATTTCAGCTCTGGGGTCTCCATTGAATTTCCAGAGAAATTACATCTCTCATGCTTGTAATTGAACTACTACTTCAGTTTTTCACTGGTAAAGTAATTAACTCCTTTCTAAAAGACATTCACCTTTGAATAGCTATGCTACTTGAAATTTCAGCCTAAAGTGTAATATTTCCTGCAGTTAAAAGCTTATTACAAAAAGAGTCTCATGTCCCTTAATTTAACAATGCGAATTCTGTTGGCAATCACCTATGTGAAATGGGTTTCAAATACAGAAGCCAAGGGGGAAATTATTATCAAAATAAAGAGACAAATACCAACACTTCCAAGCAAGAAGAAATACAAATTACTTACATCAATATCCAGCTCTTCAGTTCTATATTTGTATAGTGTACCCCTACACTCCTCTTGTGTTAACTATAAGGAAGAATAATATTGCCATAAAACAACTTAATTGGACGATGAAAATGAAACAACTGTTCAGCTTAAGAGTTCTAACACAGAAATCAGCTTTTGCTTAAAAGTCAAACATACCACACTGAACAATATATTTTTAGCCAATATATATTAATGAAGGTAAGTGAATGGAATGTCAAGCAGACTATCAGTAGAAAGTTGCATTAACTTAAAAGGCTACATTTCTAATGCAAACTGAAGTTTTAAAGGTGTGCAACTACCTCAATCAAACATGGATAATGTGGGAAGATGAAATTGCCAGAGCAAACCTAGACACAGTTATACATCATTATTTAAGTTTTGTTATGTGAATTCTAAATACAGGGGCTCATTTTACTTGGAATTAATCCTTCTAGGCCCACTAGGGTCAGGTGTTTCCACAAGGAGCATATTCTGATGTGACTATGAAACCAGAACAGAATTTTACAATATTTGTAAAATATCTTGTTATAGATATGCAAATTAAGTGCCACTGAATACCTTCTGACTATCGTTTCACAGGGATTCTCTCCCATCCAACAGGGTATTACCAGAAATGCCATAAATATAAGGCCTTCTATTTTATCTTTGGACTTAGGCACACTTGCCTTCTCCTGCCAGTTAGGATGCAAAGTATCCTCAAACTACTTTCATACAGCTCCTCATACGAAGTTCTAAACTCTTTCAGTCTGTTACTGACCAGTAACAAGATTTTAAAACATTTTACAAGAAAAAAAGGGTAGCTCCCCGTTTTAGAATGGACTGACACACAGAGTAACTACTTAATGTCCTCTACAGCAAGCATGGACATAACACTATCAAGCTTCATATTCGATTTAATTAAAAACACTGAGTCCCAACACAGATGCTTTCCTTCCATGTGTCTGTCATAATTAGGTCATAATGAGTTAACAGTACAAGAAAGACTCTAATAACACAAGCCCATGTTAAGGGACACTTATAAATGAAAGGACAAGGGAAGGGTTAATGAGACAAGCATTCCAAACATAAAATAAATCTTCAACACACTGAAGTGTTTCATTTCAAGATATTATGTCCACATACCTCATGCAAATGCACCTGGTGACAATTTAAAAGTATGTATAGTGTATTAAAACCACACAATAACTTTCTTTGAAATGGACATTTTATGAAAATGAATGTTGGAATATGAAAAAGCCACAGCACTTTTGCACCTCATGAATGTCACACAAATTAAGATATCTATTTAAACTCCTACCATTGTAGAGTTTTGTTGTTTTACTGTTGATTTTATCACAATGAGAGAAAAATGAGGAATGGAAATATTTAAATAAAACTCATAAACATGGCCAAATGTCTTTAACTTACAGAGAAAACCTAGTTATATTTCACAACAGAAAGGCTTTACAAAAGAAAGATTATCCCCTATTAGATAAATACAACTTCCCAAGTCACTGCTCAGCATCTTATGTGGCTGGGCTGGAAAAACGCAATACTGTTTTTTCAAGTCAGTATTTTTATCCTTTCTTTAAAAAGAGAGACATTTATTTCTTTTGGCATTTCAACCTTAATTACAGCTGAGTTTAAAACAGTTTGTCAATTCAGCATCCTCATCCCTACGTACCTCCTGAAATGAATGTATCTTAAGTATTCAGAAAACAAAAACACATTTCCAAAGAACACTATACACGTGCTAATTCATCTTATTAAAATCCCATGACACTTTTAAAATTGCTGCCAACTTCTTGCTTTTGTCAGCAGTACCAGTTCCCCACAACAGGCACTGCTGGAGAGCCACTTCATTTCAACGTTTCTACTACAACATTTTACACAGACTTAGGGTAAAAACTCCAAAAATAATATGAATAACTTAATCCACCTCTGACAAAACAGCAGCTTCACTTTTCACAGCACATCAACAAATCCGCTCAAGGCAAGAAGTGCAGAATGCTACCACATCCTACTGGAATTACAGGAGGAACTGCGGCAGACAAAACGCAATTACACATTTCAAGCAAGGTTAACAACCTCATAACCCTGGAAAACGCATTATAAGAGCTCCAATGACCAAGTTATCAAAATGTACTTTCTGTCACGTTCCACAAACGCCTTTCTTCGCCAAATCGCTCCCACAAACCCTCCGCCAGGACGGTAATTCCAGAGCACGAGTGCCACCTACTGAACCAGCGACGTGACTTGCCGCTGACTTCCCTCTCCCTCGACATCTGCCTGCTTAAACACACCGAAGTCCATTCCTCTCAACAGGGGTAAACACACTGAACAGACCCCAAACATCAGGGAGCAGCACCCTGACACCTACAGACAGAACTTACCCTTTTTGGAAGGTAAGCTGCTCACACAGAGTTCGGCCACACATGGACCTTGCATGTGAAGAAGTGACAGGACCTTCAACTGAACCTTCATCTTACGTTAGAAATAATTTGTTGTCAACTGTACAGTCCCACTGCACAGTCCCCATCTCCATCACCCACCGACACCAGAGGAACCACAGAAGTGGATTAATCACGTGCTTCAGACATGAGGGGTTAAACCTATTTAAGTTGTCATTATTAAAAACATTTCAGTGACAGTACTGTTTCATTACCTTATAAGCTGTTTTCAGATTCCACTAATTGCTTTGATTCAATAAATATATGGTGGGAAACTTCAGACCCCAAAACCACACCAGACAGCTCTGCAAGACACTGCACTTAGGAAATTATAAAAGGATAATCTGGGGGATTTTTTAAATTAAAGCTAAGACTTCTGAGAGAAGCTTTTTTTTTTTCTTTTTAAAATACTTCTTGCTACCAGGAAGCTGGGCAAATGGGCATTCAGCCCACAGTAAGCAAGGTTCTCCTCTAATTTTGAATAATGTTGTCATATAACATGTTTAAATTGGAAAAAACCCAAGATTTTTAGCTCAAACATGATCATCTCATGCTCGTAACAAAACCTGAAAAATATTTCTGCCTATGAATCTCAAAATCTAACAAGCATAATAGTTTAAATGTATGCAGCTGTGATAACAATAATAATAAACCATAAACAGCACCTCCCCCTCCTTAGAGGAGCAAAAAAATCAAGGGCTACTTTCTCTGGTTTTAATGTATTAAGAATAATTATCCATGGAAAGACTTGGATGTTATAAGAAGATATAAGCAGAATTGAGGAAAACTGTACCTTTTTAATCAGCCCATGCTGCTTTAGAAAACAAGATTAACACTCCTCACCTACTATTAGAAATAAACCCAAACAAGGTAGAAATGGGTCCAGTCTGTAAAAAGTGATTTAAATAATTGTGAAGATGTAACAAATCACAAACAAAAATGTCTTATAAATAACACATTTGAAATAGTAGATATTTTTGCTATTTTACTGAAGAACCATTAATCATTACAAACAAACAGGAAGCAAGACAGTTTAATTTTTCAGTAAAGTACAAGCTCTTCTTGCTTTCCTTTGCTTAATTCTAAATAAGCTCAGTCATAAAACTGAACTGAACAAACTGAAGCAAATAAAGATCCTTTTCTTTATCGGCAGGAATGGTTACAGTCATCAGAAACCAGTTTATCATCCTGGCAACAGAACAGGTCTCAGTCACTTGCACAGAGGCTTCTCCCCATTGTTTACAACTCCTTAAAACTGCAGCAGGAAAGATGACTGTTAAAACCAATTTATTTTATTTGAATAAAAACCCTGTATGTCTGTTCAGACTAAATAAGTTGCCAGAATTTTTAACAGGCTGGTTTTGCATTACAGAAGTTTAGAAGACTATCTAGGCAGTGAAATTTTGAGTGTGTTTTTATCCTTTCCTGGAAGTAAGTTAATGCAGTATCTCGATACAGGAAACTTCATCCATGAAAGCAACAGATCTTGCCACTCCACAGTTTAGGCAGCACCTGGGTTCTTCCACACAAGGCTGCAAACACCCTGAACCTGAAGAGACCACATCTCTAGTGACAAGAGGTTACTCAGTCTCTGTGACCTGTTAGTCAGTGTTTCTTTGACAGGAACATCAAAAAAGGTGTTTATTCACAGCAGCAGGTGTGCCAACAAGGTGAAGGCAGTGCTGTGCAGCACAGCTTCGTCAGGGCAGCACTCAGAAATTTATTGGTACTAAATACCCGAGCAGATTATCCCAGGCACAGCTATACCTCAAATATGTCTATATTAATGTTAGAAGCCTGAGCCAGTTTACCCTGACACATCTAAACCAGCTCTGTTTGTTATATATACGTTGACTTGTCTTACATACTCCATCACAGAAAATTGATCCACTTTAAAAAAATTGTAACCCCTAGGCTTCTTTAAAAAAATGCAACAGAAACTCCAAAATTTCATTTAGGGCTTGAGGGCACCTTACTTCTCCCATTCCTCTCCAAGTTGTTCCTTCAGGTTCCATGTTAAAGATCCTGTTTTGCACAGAGAAGCACAACTGGGACGATCATGGAATCAGTCACTCATATCCCAACTTCCTTTGGAAAGCTGAGATTTCTTTGCAACTTTTCTGGATCAGAAGCAAATTTATAACGTGGAGTTGATTTTCAAAAAAAAAAAAAGAAACATGCAGTTAAGCTGCAGAAATTCTTAGAAACATGGCAAAGCCTTAATTACTAATAAATGACTGGTTTACGTGGCAGAATATCTCCCTTTCTTCAAATAACGCAACCTCAATATGTAATTTTAGCTCACAAGAGCATAAATGTAAATGCAATGGAACTGGTCAGATATCCCTTGTAGGAAAAACATCTTCATTGTATTTGAGGCAAGAAACTTATTAAAAACATCCCCTGATCTGAGAGGGACTACTCAGTTAAGCCCCAGCATCCCTAAGACACTGCGGTGCCAACAGATATGGATTGGCCATGCTCATAAGTTAATGCAGGTCTCAACTCACAGACAATATTTCCATTCACATTTCAGGTTCTTCTTCCATCTTACCATTTACAACCATCACTAGTTACTCAGTAAGTGTGCACAGTTAAGTCTGCTGTGACTTTATGAACAGACACACTGCCTTTTGGATTTACAGTCCCCAGATCAAAGTAATTTTGATCCTTCCTTTCTTCAGTGGCTAAAGGCTTGGTAGGTGCAAACAAAAACTTGTAAATCCACTTCCTAGAACGAAACAAAATTGCCAGAGATGACCAGGTAAACACCACTCACATGCTTTTGTAGTGGTCAAAAGAAAGAAGCACCTTTGAACACTAATTGCAGAGAATCATGCTAAGACAAATGTTGGAAGCTTATTGGGAGGTTTATGAATTTACTGGACACCTGCATAAAGCATCAACTAATTAAATCGTCTAGACAGAAAAAGTTGTTCAAAAGTGTACACTTAATACTAAACAACAAAAACGCAGCAGAAGCCATGCTAACAATATCGCAGCGTTTTATAAAGCATGGATGACTTGTGGTTTTCCAAAGCAAAGAAGAGAAACACCAATGTCATGAATAAATCTGAAGGAACAACCAAAACTGTCACTAAGGAAAATTTTCGCAGATGATAAAGCAATTTCATTCACTATCCAAGACCTTACTTGCTGGTACAGTTGTGGTCTTAGCGCCGAGTTCTCAATCATAGTGTGAACCATGGTGATTAAAGGTTCATTCTCTTTCATCTATTTCAAATCAGGAGGAGCATACAGCAAACATCAGTTTACAGCATGGCTAGATTTGAAAGACGACACTGTAAAATATAGCCTCTACTTTAATTTTTTTCTAATAATGCAGTAGATTACATTTTAACCCATGCTTTTTATATATTCCATCATTCAGTAATATCAACATCTGAAAAGTTCAATAATATCAAACAAATATATCAAAACCACATAAATGATCAGAACCAATGCAATATTTATTCACCAACGCTCTCTCTTTTTAAAAATGAAAATGCTTTAGGTAAGTTTTGCTTTGCACGATATTGAAATGAAAAGTATTATCAGATTTTGCAACAGGAACACTCAAACCTTTATCAGAAAACCTTTTAAATTATAGATTTAATAACTCAATGTACATTAAAAAGATATAAGCATCCCCAGCCTGTGAATATTGAAGTGAGGTTCAGGCTCATGTTCATGTATCACAAAATGCCTTTATATACTGCACTGATTTATATCCTTAGGGACTTTGAACCATTGCTTGTTGCATTTATCCACCCCCATATACAGGTGTGAAACCATTTCAGAACTGGTCAGACAGTTTCTAGTGATTACTATCTATTGATATGTATGCAAATGTCAAAACCAGATGTTTTATTACACATTGCATACGTTTAGGATTTCAGAAAAGTGTGCAACAGAAAACAGCATGGGCCTTTTGCTTTTAAAAAGAAGACTTTCCTAACAGTAAGGGAGAAAGAACAGGTGGTTTTCTTCTCCAAAAGAAACTCAGGAAGTCACTTAATGCATAATCCTATTTTTGTTGGAAACTTTAGGACCTGCTGGAAACTTTAGGAATACCTGTTTTGAGTGTGGTTGGTTATGCAGGAAGTGTGTGAAAGAATATTTATGATCTTTCACTCTGTATGTGTATATATACACACTCACCATGGAACTGCAAAGCAAGGTTTTGTTTCACAGACTGAATTGCCACAGAATGAGTTTTTGATGCCTTTTGGAACTTCTTGCTCCTGTTTATTTAGGGAAAAAAGGCTAACTTGTACGTTTGGAGAAGTAGGGTTTTTTCTCCTTATAGGAAACATATTTTCCTGTCATAGATAGAGGACCTTTTTGTTGTTGTTGTTGTTTTTTATACATAGTAAAGTCTGATCAGCTGATGAGTTAATCAGCCAATGCAAAATAAGAAGGCAAGCTTATGATGCTCTGTTTGCTCAAGGTAGGAAAAACACTGAACAAGCAACCCCTACCATTTGCTCCATCATCTACAGCACACAAAACCAGAAAACTAGAACTGACCCAAGAAGTTGTTCTTCCCTTACATTAAAATTTTGTCCAGAGATCGAGTGCACCAGGTGATCTCAAAAGAGATCTCAATAGTAAGACTAACAATAGGGTCCAAAACTGAGCAAACTACAGTCAACTTAAATAACTGTAAAAGAAAAATCATTCTGAGGCTCAGATATTTTATTAGGAGATACAGGTTTGAATGCTTTTTTATTAGGAGGATTTCAGAGCTTCATACTCTCTAGCTAATACTTTTTTACAATATTTCAAATTTTTCCTTTCTGACCAATAACAGCCAAGGCCAGAATTAAATTCTTTTGAACCGTTCAAAGATTGTTTACATCCAGATTAGAAGAAAATAAGCAAAGTGGATTTGCTCAGAGGACATTTTGAGGTAGTGTTTTGTCCTCCAGACAGCTCCAGCTTTGATTTACAGCACTTCTTCCAATATCTTTACTACCATTTTGTGCTTAACTGTGCTTATCTACCACTATTTGAGAAGGCCACTTATATCCAGAAAAGCTGCAGTTCCTTAAGCCCTTATGGAACAAAGATCAAAAACCAGGTAATGGGTGAAGTAGTACCAACCAAAGGAGCCTTTGTAGCAGTGAAATACAGCAAAGTGTTTTTCCCCTTTAGGAAATAATGTTTCCAAAAAAATACTGACAATCAACTATCGAGAAATTCAGCCCTGGAGGGAGCACCTCAAATCCTGCAATAAATGAAAGGTAGTGCACACACAGGTAGGGTGTGCTCAAGAACTGGCAAAGTAAATCAGAGTTACATGGGACACAATGGCAAGTCCCATGCTCTAAAAGGTGAAGAGAATACCTGTTTTGTGTTCTTCAAGCATTAAGTCTACTCCCAAACTGAAGTTGGACACCATTCACATGAAATAAATAGCTCAAGGTAAAATAACCGCTTGTTCATAACAGAAGCAAGCCTTGATTCTCATTCATTTCAGAAAAAAAAAAAAACAACAACTATTTTTGTACAACAAAGGATAGATTTTAGGTCCTACATGTAATATTATTATACTCATAGAGTCTCTCCAATTAAAGAAGTCACAAAAATGGGAATTAATAGATTTCCATAAGCAAACCAAAGTGTCATACAGCAACACAGTAGTAAACCCAAATAAAATCCAGCAGTCTTGGCTTTATAATTTCTACTTCTAGTAAATAACTCTTTCTCCCCAGAAGTGATGCTTTATCTTTGCTTTTTTCTGTACTGATGTACTATATAAAAGCAATTTCCAGCTGGAAACAATAAAACCCCACCTCCTTGACATATGAACTACACAAACAGTTACTTCATTTACGAGCGAACATCTGAGTGGGGATTTTGTGTTTTAAACTGTCAAGCTAAGCTATTGACAACTTCTAACTTCCTTCCTTTTCCTGAATTCTCTTCCATGTTTGGTAACACCCTATACAGATGACATTTCAGGATGTGCTGCTCTGGTGGCAGTGATCAGCTGGAACAGCAGCTGCCTACCAGGACAGCGGCAATAGGACCTGACCAAGCTTTTCTCCCACCTTCCCTCTGCTATTTAATCCTCTGTCCAAGGGAAAAAAAAAAAGAAGGAAAAAAGTACTTTTCCTTTCTGTCTTCTTTTTACAGCAATTCTGCCTCCACACAGTCTTTTTTTCACCCTAGAGAGTCCCTGTCCTTGAGCCTCCCTTCTTCTTCTGAGGAAGGAAAAGTTAGAAAAAAAAAGCAGTAAAAAGAACAGTGGTGGCTGTGTTGGCCACTCTACCTTTTCCAGATGAAAAATACAAGTAGTAGTATCCTATATGCTGCTAACAACTGGACATAAAATTTTAGGCTGATACACAAGATATCAGATATAACAGAGGATTGTCTGTCAACTCTATCCAAGCCTCCTTGTACTATTCCAGCCTTCCTTAATTTACTGCCTTTTCCCAGAACCACCTTCAGATGTAAGAAGGAAGGTGCTGAAGAGGAAAAAACAGAAGCAAATGACCAAGACAGAAAGGATGTTGGCTGTGGGACCTTCACTCCTTTAGTTGACAATTTCTTGTTCAAGTTCTGTTTATTTTTAGGCAACCTTTGAAAACTGAAGGAAACTAAAAATGAAAGTATCAGTAGAATTGTTTTAAGTACTTAACACCTCAGCTATTTACATGAAGAGCTATTTCAAAAAATTGGGGGAAAAAAGGCTAATTGAAATGAAATTTAGTAAAACTTTCACTGTGACAAACCTACCTGGTAAATGCTGAGATAATAGGACAACATGCATGAAGAGTTTTACATAAATAGCATGAGCTCAGCAGGAAAGGGCTTTTCAGTCCCAAGAAAAGTTTTACTATCAACATAACATCCAGAAGCTTACTAAAAGACTGGTGTGCTGGAATTCTTGATAATAACAGAAAGATTCATGTGGGACCTCCTGGCATAGCTTTATTTACAAGCAGGAAAAAGCATGTCTAGCTTGTATTTGAAAAAAACCCCCACACTCTTATGTTCCTGCTTTTCATTACTGTTATTGTAATTACTGGGTACACATAAATTAAGGAGATGGCTGGCTTGGATTTAATAATACACAAGAAATGATCCTTTAAAATTCACTAATATGTACTCACAACATTCCACATTGGCAAACAAATCATCACTGTTTGCCTAGGGTTGCTCGCTATGTCCACAGAACTACTTCCTAAACTGCAGATGGATCCCCCTCCCAACTCTCTACAAACCCTGAGCCAGCAGAGTGGTTTAAAAAGGAAAGGGTGCTGGACAATCATTCTTTTGGCCATAAGACATCAAAGAAATCACATGGCTGGATATATGTTTGCCAGTCTCTTTGATCTTTTTTTCTCCTTCTATCTCTGAACTCCAACAACAACAACAAAAATTCTGAAAGCATAACACAAAAACATCAGAAGGTGTAACATGAGAATTTTCAAAGCATCTCCAAAGGAAACAGCAGTACAGAAACGAAGCATGATTTCAAAAAGGGGATGGAATATTCTTGATAAGAAAACCACCTAACCAGCAGACAACAACTGATTGCAACAATATAAAAGTAACCCTCCCTACACACGAACTTGAGTGTGCCTGAAAGATCACCTGTGCAACCTCAGCACACACTTACTATTTATTGTCATGTACAGCACTGAATTCTTTGTGACCAAGAAGGTGAGAGCTGAAGATAACTGGAGTCCCACCACGTGTTTTAGGCAAAGCAGGTTTTGACACTATTTTCAGAGATTAAATACAAGTGAAAATACCTAATTTAATTACAGTGGACACTTAAAATTCAGAGAGGGAAAGTGATTATGCACACTGGTTACAGATATAGCTGACCAGGAGGAAAGACCTTTTGATTTTTTTTCTTTCTTTCCAATATAAAGGAAAATTGACACTGGACAAAGTAATGAAAAGATATAAATGTGATATCACCCTAGAAGCAGTGATACTCAAAGTAAAAAGACTCTCAGGGAGATTAATCTGCTACAGGTAGATAACAGTATTATAAAACAAGAGAAAAAGAGAAAACCTGATCAGAAACTGGGACAAGTATTCCAACCTGTTCTTCCACGATTTTATGTTTAAGGTAATATATTTTAGACTTGATAATGATTTCTTGTGTTAAGAAGTGCATCTCTGGTATAGGCAATTATGGCACAACTATAAGATTTAGACACTTTCCTAAATGAATGCTTACCACACCACATTTCTAAATTTTATCTAATACAAGTAAAAGGAAAATAATTTTTACCACTCCGTATGTTGCACAAAGGCAATTCCCTCCATTTAATCCTGCCCATTATACTCATAAGCTTGGCTGATCAAGCAATAGCTTTACAAGCAATGGTTTTACACTTCACATTGACTGTTATCCTTTCCTGGCAACAAATTACATTGAAGACAGAATGCCTTATTCCAAAACATTATAAACTGGAAATATTTGAGTTGGATGAAATATTTTGGTCTAATTTAGCAAGCAGTGTTCCCCTACTGTTTTGGACCTCCTGCAACTCCTTAAGTAAAACAAGACAGAGATGTTTAGAAATGTGTTGCAATCAACACATTTGTTTTCAAGAGATAATAGGAAAATAAAGTCACTGGGTGAGCCAAGTGGGAGTGTGTATGTCTCTGTGTACAGGTGGGGCTTTTAATTACTCATTGAAATCCCATTAGAGGAATATGTAGGATATAAAAGTTCTAACAGTTGGTTTTAAGTGTAAGGTTCAAAAGTTTCACTCAAAGACAGATTATTAAAAAAAGCCACAGTAATTTTTATATTTTTAACCAATGGTCACCTAGCTGCTTATCTTTCTTCTAAGCACTTACGACTGTCTTTTATAAATGCCAGCAAGAAAAAAATGCCATTTAAAAACTTCTCACACATAAGCTGTACTGAAATCTCATTTGATCGTGAAACAAAGGCATAAAGAGAGGTATGTGATATCACAATTCTTCACTTGGCAATCAATTATGTTAGTGAAGACATAACTGTACCCTCACTTTATAAATTATCAGAAATTGTAAAGAAGTAAAATCTTATTCTTATATAAATCTTCAAGAATTAACTGAGACAAAATGAGAAAATGAGGCATGTTATGATTTGATTAAAACATTTCTTCATGTTTGACCTCCCTTTAATTTAATGTCCTGTAGAAACATCTAACTCTCCTTAATTAGGAAAACAGAAATTTTCAGAAGTATAATTTTTCTATAAATTGCATGTGTGTCATATGAGCTTGGAAATAAATAATGACTTTGGTTAAAGAAGGTAAAACACTACAGTTAGAGTTACTGTAAGAAGGAAATGAAGAACAGAAAAATTAATTGGTGAGTGGCTGCTGTATTCTGACAAATTTTATATCAAGGGCATTTTGTTCCCTATAACATATCACATTCGTAATCAATTAAGACATTCCATGCTATGAGCATCCTCCAACTTGATAAAAAGCACTGAAAATCCTTCTCCCCAAATATTTCCAGCTTTGATTAGGAGCAGGTAAAAAAGCATTAAGGAACTCAAACGCACAAGAAAATTGCAAATCCCACCTGGTGATCCACATATATAGCATTCCTTTGAAGGTGATGTGAAAGAATCTCATTCTAGTAGGCAGCAGGCAGAGGGCAAAAGGAAAGGGACAGAAGGTGCAGAATGCATGAAAAGAGCTTTAAAAGATGTAAACTAGACAGTGATCTTTCTGTTTTATGTAGAAATATAATGCTGGTTTTAACTGCTTTTTTTTGGTGAACTGTTAACAAGTCTTGATCCCGAAACAGAAGCGATAGAAGTTTACCACAAATTAGGCTATGAATCACTATATCACATTTTCTATTTACATCTAAAATATAGTAAGCCCATGTAAATGTCCACTACACAGACAACTATAAACCCTTTGATAAATCTGTGTTTTAAGCAAGTCCTGCTGTTCGCAGACATATTATGAATAAGAAGACATCTGATATGAGGCAGTATAAACAATAAATTCACCTCATGATCTATCACTACTGATTTTGTTTGTGATACCAACAGATTAAGAATCTTTAACTACGACATATTTTAAAATATTCCTCTGTAATTTTGACTGGGCTTATTTCAAAAAGCCCCAAGTAAAACCTCAAAGGGTTAATAGCAGAACACCACGCACACACAAAGAACCCAAAGTTACTCTATTCTACTCACACAACAGTCAAGAAAATTTTGCACCAACAAAGTACAAAGCAAACTTTCGATTAATGGATGACTACAGGTTAGTGAGAATGGTACATGACACACATTGCTTTATAGCTGACCTTTGGGCTGCTGGCCTCAAGTTTTAGTTGCATGAGCTGTGCTAGTGTGTGTTCCCGGATACTACTCAGTTCCGCTTGCTGCCGTCTCAGCTTTATTAGCAGCAGCGTGAGCTCCTCTGGCTGAAGGAGTGCAGTGTGAGAAGCCAAAGAGTAGAAAAAAGGTTAATTGGTATCCCAAACAACACTTAAATAAAATAAGGCTTCTGAGTATCTTTCTTACAGAAAAAAACCCCAACTTTCGACAGCGATACAACAGAAGAAACACCATCTTATCCCTCAAATCAACCACTTTCAAATATATAAATGAAAGGTTAACTTTAACTGCTCAAAACGATTGACATTGTAATGCTGTAAAAGTGAAACATTCTGTATTAAAAAACAAAAATAAGGGAGGACTTTGCAGGACAAAGTCTTTGCAGTCCTCACGCTTCCTCTGACATGCATATCAAATTGATGATATTGGCTTAAGAGGAGGGGGAGGTAATTCTGGCTCTTAGGATATCACTACCTGTACATGAACAGCCATTTGAGCTTGGTGAAAGAATCAAAACATGCCCTCAAGAAAGTTTAGTTTTTAAAATAATTCTTCAAATGTATGCATCAAAACTGAGAGCAAAAATAATGAAAAATCCATCTTAACTGAACTGCCTCAGAAACCATCACCTTTCACAAAGTAAAACTAAACAAGCATGACAAAAATAATTTTCCATCACACCTTTCACAGGTCTGAGGCTATCAGTTATTTTATTGCTTTATGACTAAGCTGTATGATAAAGCCTTAGGAAGGGATGAGTAACAGTATTTAAACCACAAGATTATATATATTATGGAAATAATGTCACACTCAAATGGGTATTTGTCAGGTAATTCCACACAGATCAGTTTAGATCAGTTTGGGAAACTATCTGAACCATTCCTGGGAACCATTTTCTATTAGCAATACTTCAAAGAAAACAAACCACTTAACATCACAAGTATTTTTTTTGTTATGTTTGTGTTTGCTGCTGTTTCTTACACTTCTCCAGAAGTCAATCTTACCAGAGGTTAAATATGCACCCAGCATTTTGATTTTCTCACAAGTTCTGCGAGTTAAACAAAACCCAAACACAGAAACCTTTTAAAACCCAGCTTGCTGTCTCCCAAAGTCACAGAATTTCCCCAAAGCAAAGAAGTAAGGAAAAAAAGCTCCAGAGAACCATGTACTGAAACAGTGAAAAACATATACCAGTTTCTTAGAATAAAGAGGAAACATCCCTGAGAATAAGCATGGCACTGGCACCGTTGTGAGCCGGGGCCAGAGCAGCCCACAAGAGGGAGCAAGGGATTTCCACACAGCTTCAGTTGGCAAAACCATTTGCTTTGAGGGAAAACCAACACCAAACCCAAACTGGCTGTGGCAGTTTTGGTTCTTACACTACTCTCTCAGTACCTGGATTTAAAATACTTAATTTCAGAGAGTAAATGTAAGAATCTAGACTGCTATTCAAGGCGTTTTCATGTTCTCTCCAAAAATAGGTGACAGTGCGTTCAGTCTGAAAATTAACATCAATTCAAAGCACAAGACATCTTATTTTTAGGAATATGAGAACTGGAAGTAGCATCTTCAAGCAAAAGGAACATTGATCCACTCTTACAAGGTCAAAACTCCTCTCGGTATGTTCTGCAAAAGCCCGATTTTAGTGCATTAGGAATAAAATATTTAATGGCACTTAAATCCAATGTTTGCAAGTAAGCCTTTTTCCAAAGAGGAGCCCATCAAATCATATTTCCTACTCGTCTCTAGACATTCCTAATGTTGCAAAGATGTTTGACGCTGCTGCAAGTGCTGTGCATCTGACACAGCTCTTGGGACTCTTGCAACAACCACAGAGCTCTTCAGAGCTGCCTACAGGTTCCCTCCTCTGCCCCTGCAACGCTCGTGCTGTTGGGGACAGGACTTCTGGTTTCCACAGGCAGAAGCTTGGACCTCCTTGCCCCTTACCCTCCTCATCAGCCCAGCTCCAGCAGGGCCGAGGAGAGCTGAGGAGGCCCTGAACCCAAAGAAACGTCTGTAAGGCACCACTGCCCAAGGCCAACCCGCAAATTCCCGGAGGCGCCAGAGATTTGTGCTGGGAAGTGCAAGAAACAGGGATTGAAGCAGCGGAAGGACTGACTGTGAGTTGCTGCCCACTGTGTGATTTAAAAAAAAAAATCTGGGTTCTTAATTCATAACTCTCGAAATCAGTAATTTCAGATGGACAGAGAAGGATTATGGAATGGAGGCAGAAACTGGTCAAGAAAATAACATAAATCGAGGACAATATCTTAGATTTTGGCTGAATCATGTTGCAGTAAGGAAGGAGAACCGTATTCACCAATATTACTTTGATGAAATACCTTCAATGAGAATTTCAGCTCTACCACACTAAAATGGGAGATGTCAGAAAGGCCAATTATACAAAATGCAGTTTTAGTATCTTTTAGATTTCCAAAAAAGCCAAACATGACTTCTAGGTTTTTCTAAATAATTAATGGAGAAATAAGTGTTCTGTGATGTATTCTACCCTCTCCCAGGAATTTCAGCAATGTATCAATGATAATTAAAACATAATAAATCTATATTTCTCAAAGAAAATCTTGACTCAGCAGCTATATGATATTCTCAGAATTCAGTGGAAATACAGAGTATTTCTTTACTTACAACAAAAATCTCTGATAATTAAAATAAAGGCTATGTTTAATGCAAGCTTTGAATACAATAAGATTTCAGTGTTGCCTCTTCCTATTTAAAGAATTATTCTTAAAAGCCCCTGATGCACAAAATAAAAAAAGCAACTCACTGTTTTGCCTTGGAGGCTCTGAGGAGTAACAGGCTGTAAACTCAGAGCTGCTGGCATCGACCTTCTGTCGGGTACAAAGACATGCTGCACAAAAAAAAAAAGTAGAAAAACTTTTAAATGTTAAAAAAAAAAAAAAAAAATCAAGCCAACTTCACACTCATGAAAATTTGCTATGGTTTGTGCCCGTCATGCTCCCTGCTGAACTACCACGTAGGACACTCAAGAAGTCTACCTCTAAATTTTAGAAATATCTCAACTTGTATCATTCACTTAATTAACAGTTTTCCCTTGTTGTTGCCTGACTGATAGCCTGTGCAAACAACAATTTTAGTTTTTCATCTCCCATTGAAAGACCTATGATCTCTATGAAGATGGGGTCTAAGTCTTTAATTTAACCCTACTGATTTCAATCAATCAGTTTCCTAATTACCCAATCTTCAAAACAGGTCTGTGTTTTTAAGTTAACAGCAAAAGCTGGTTGTGTAACTAATGAAGAACAAACCAAATAGCTTGAAAAACCAAAGGGAAACATTAGTATTGTGTAAAAGATACTAAATATGAAATGAAACACTAGCATAAAGTGTTTGACAAGGAAAAATATCAGGAAGCAAAACATAGCTGAAAGAACAAGTAAGCACATGCTCTGCTGCACTGACATGGTGATATTGGTCAGATGTGTGAGAGGCACTGATTACTAAATTGCCAGAGCAGTTGAGACATAAAGGATGTCAAAACAAAATGACTCCTTTGTTGATAGAGACCTGTAAACTTTGAAATCCAAGACTTAATCATCAACTCTAAGTTGCTCAAATTGCTTTAAGATGCAGTTACAGATTCTTTTTGCCTGCATCAAGAAACATAGAGATAAAGTTTTTTGAAAAAATGCTCAGGAGCATTTTACATCAACTGAAGGAGTAATTTTTATGTAATTATTTCCAATCTATTAAAAACTATGAAAGCACAAGCATGACAAATACAGCAGAGCCATACACAGCACCCAAGTTTAGAATTCTCCACGTCTCCCACTCACTGGTGAAGACCAGCAGAGTTAACTCTAGTCAAGCACTAAGGTTGTGTGCATTTAGACTCCAATCTTTAGGGATCCCCCTAACAAGTCAAAAGTATAAAAACAAACAGTGTTCTGTCTTCTGCTGGAACCCAAGGCAGCCAAACTTGTGGCTGAAGAATAGAGAAGAGCATGTGGAAAGAAACCTGGGATTTTGAGTCCTCTGGGAGCTAGAAAGGGGAAAGAATTCTGTACATACAAAAACTTTTCTGAATAATTTGCCCATTGACTCCTTTTTATTTTCTTTAGAGAAACGTTAATACCATGGGCAGTAATATTAGGACAGCATGTTTTCACCTAGCATATGAGAAAAATGCCTTTTTACTACCTTTAGATTTTTAAGTACTTTTTAAAATCAAACCTTTCTCCATGAAAACAGCAACGTCACTTAAACTTCGTTATAATAAAATATACTACAGTGCAACACGAGTTTTACAGTAATCACATACTTCCTACTAAACATCCTCGTAAATAAGATTTTATAGCTATCAAATGAAGTGTTTTTACCTTGGTATGATGCGCCCTGTGCCTGCGATCGATGGTCACATCCCCCCTTTGCACTGGCGATGACACTTCCGACCGGTAGGTCCGCTGTGGGGAATACCCTTGGAAACCAGCGATGGAGCCGTGAGAAGGCGAGGTGGGAATCGAATGCATGGTCTGATCAGAAATGTTAATCATAGTTTTTGGGCTACTTATAGTACTGTGCCTAGTCAGAGTTGTCTGCTTGTTGTAGAACTGGCGCTGCTGCCACTCGTAGAGCTGCCACATCGTGTCGTCGCGCATCGACCTGCGCTTCTCCTCGGCGGTGACGGGTCCCATGGCTCTGTCGTAGGCCGAGGGTGCCACGCTGCAGAGGCTCTCTGGACGTGCCTTGCTGTTCCTTGGCAGTGTTCTGTAGCCCTCTGGGTACCGGGGTAAGACCTGAGGGCGATGGCTCGGCATGTTCCTCGGCAACGTCTGGTAAGAGATTACGCTGAAACACAAATTTTCTTTTTGTCAGTGGACAGCATTAATATTATGGCAATGCTAAGTTTTTCAGTATGGGTTAGTTTTATCTAGCTGACTCTTACCTTTTTTAATACTTCAAACGCCATTTAGAAAACATGGAAGACAATCAAGACAACAATTAAAGAATCAATTGTAATGACAATGCACTGCAGCAGCCAAAACTGGATCCCTCTCTCTATTAGCTCTTGATGATATAATCTGTATTTCATCTTTTCACCAGTCTAGTAGTATCAAGTTTAGATCACATCGTCCAACTTATCTATATGCTGGATAGGTCAAAGTTTTTAAAGCTTTAATGTTCTCTTTTTCAAAAGTGACAAAATATCCCGTTGTTTCCCCAAGAAAATCTTGAGCAATTACTATGGACATTAAAAAAAAAAAAAAGATTCTTTTAACAGCAGACCAAAGAAAAACTGCAGTAATTGTCTAAAGAAATTATGTTTTGTAAATGTCAAGGATAATCCGTTCCACATCAGCCATTCAAGCAAAACAAACAGCAAAATATTTCTTTGTTTGATAATAAAATTGTATTGCTTTTCAACTCAGATATGAATTCAAAGGCTTATTCTTTAATTTGCTGCCACATTAAAATTCTGGAGTGCTAGTCATTTAGCAACTTTCAGCACTAGTTGAAATGCAGAATTTTCCATGCCGAGTATCGACGCGTGCCTAAGTGTGACAAAGCACTTCTTGTTTTTCTTTCAGAGGTCACAATCTAGGTCATAAACATTGATTCATTCATCCCTTATCTAAAACGCAAATGAGCACCTCTTAAAACCTTTTGTTACTTATCATGCATACGACAGATGCTTGCTCGGAGACAACTCACACTGGGCAGCATTTAACCATCAGAGGGCAGCAGCTTCCAGCTACACCCCTCACTAACTCCAACTAAAATCCCTGCCACCACCAGAACCTGAAGATGGCTTTGAATTACTCCAGTGCCACAAAAAACATTAAAGGAACGGTGTAGAGCAAATGGAAAGGTAAACCAGCATAAAGCATGTTAGATCCTTATGGAATAACTATCAAGGATATTGATGATGGTAAACCCCATTTTTCACTGAAAATAGTTAAGCTGAGTATTTATGGTCACCTGTTACATTTTGGAGATGAAAACTGCTATAAAGAGCTTTACATATAAAATCTGCTACAGTTTCTGAAGCTTTTCAAGAATTAATGAAGTATTATCCCCATTTTGTAGATTGGGCAGCTTTCCATTCTCACAGGAAAATAAAAAGAGGGAAAGAGATTCTAAGTCCTAGTCTTTTGCTGCAAAATCTGCTTAAATAGCTCTAAATTTCTTCAGTAACATACCATTAATTAGAAGGTTTTTCTCCATCTCCATATTTAAAAACAAACAAGATGCTTTTGAGTTCCATTTCTAACTTTCAAAATGTAAGTGCAGCTATACCCCACAACAGGTATAGTGAAGCTTGACATTTTCATGAAGATATTTGGCAGTAACAGCCACCTCACTCACTAAAGCTCCTCTCCTGTTTTATTAATTAAATGAGCATTGTAATCCTATTGGCTCCTTGAGATATCCTGAACAACTTGAAGAACAGCTGTCTGAAATTGTTACTCTGTTAAAGATAGCCATTTAAAGTCTGCGTGCAATTACTTATATTCTAGAACATTTAGAAAGATAACAAAATCCATCTTCAATTGTTAAACCATGAAAATCGTAAAAAGCCCAATCCCCTCAGTGTCAAGCCTTGTTTTACATAATTCAATAAAATCAAAAGAGATACATCTATGTACTGTTGATATTTGCAAAAATACCATTCTAGTCAAACCCAAAAACCAACCCTTACATACAAGGGGAGACTGCAGCAACTGGGTTTGAGGTTCCAAAATATTTCTGCAGCTGCCATCATAAATAGCTCCTTATAAATGCTTCCATATGGAAAAAAGGCTTCCAGGTTTGTTCACAGACTCCTAATAGACATCTTTAGAGGCTGTCTCTAGGCTTACTGTTGGGTAGCTATAGTGGTTCTGGTCCAAGCTGGACTATTTGGGAAAGCAACTTTGCTGCTAAACCTTTAGGGGCTCAGTTCTGCAATGTTATGAATACCATCAGACTGGAACCTCAAAACAGTCCTTCATCCTAAAGAACAGAGCAGAGCTACCTCCTGGCCCAGAATACAGAACTTCCACATGGGAATTCCGCAAAGGGTGGCACAGAGTGAAGACAGAAACCTGGTGCATTATTTAGGATGAGGTTTATATGGGCAAGGTGAGAAACAGTCTCACATCTGGGGTTAGCAACGTAATACATCAATACCATGCAACTCTTCTGTATTTTTTCACATTTGAAAGACCACTTAACTGAACCGCTTTTGGTGAAAACATTTATTCAGACGTGACTTGTGCAAAATTAATTCAATAAAATGATACTGAAATGGAATGTGTTCATTTTTTTATTTGAAACACATTTATTTTTAGTTTTCAAAAAGGTTTGTCTTCCCCAAGGCAGCAATTGTCTTTATTCACGTGGCTCTTAAAAGCTAGATGTCTAGATCCATGGAAATGGCAAATAACAGCTTTGAGAACTAAAACCTACGTTGTAATCATTCTCATTACTTGGATAATCAAACCACTAAGGGGTCAGCCTATTCCTCTAAAAAATTAGTAGTTGTATAGTGAACCTTTCTCATTGCACATTGAGGACAGCTAAGAGCTCCTATTTTACATATAGTTATTTACTGAAGCTATTTGTTGACATTTAAGCATTCTTAATGTGCTGATTTCTTTCAGTCTGACATCAGAGATCCTCAGTTTGGTCCTCCATGATTTCTCTAGCACATGAGAGAGACAGATGCAATGGAAAGCAGCTTTGTTAGAAGTCAGCAACTTTTCCCCTTTATGTGAAGACTACTTTATTCAAAAATTCAAGTTATGAGTTGAACAGGTCTTACTACAAACAGCCTTATTAGCCTCTCACCCCAACCTTAGGCTTTAACGTAAGCTTGGAGCTTCTTTCTACTCTAATTCTTTAATTCTACTTAAACTGCTGTCTCCAAACAGAGAGTGGCAATCTGAACAAAAATAAAATTTTAAATTTAAATGAAATCACATTTAAAAGACATCACTGTATACATTAGAAAATTTGGATCATTATTCAAGGCCCTTTCCACACAAAGCAAAAAGGATAGCTCAAGGCCAATTCTTTTTCAGTTTTTGATACTTTTATGTAGAACTGCATTTGAATGCACACCCTTTAATGCTATCAATGCCACCCTTATTTAGGCAGCAAGTGTTCCCTGTAGTCAAGAATAAAATATTGTTAATTAGTAACATATTGTTAATGGCTCTTGCTTGTATTTGATTCCCACAATGAAATCAGTTTTAGGGGTTTTACACTTGTTCACAATTGAAAAATAGCAAAGCTATTCTAATTTCTACTGTTTGGTTGCAAGTTTTACAGTCCAATAAAAAAAATTAACTGCATCAGAGAGCCCTCTTGGTTCTCATTATGCAAACATGCATAATAAAATAAATGTCAGGGTGTGCAAAGCACTGTCTGCATTGCCAGTCCAAACTTGATCAAAATACTTACATTGAGTATTTCATGAAACAACACATTAACAATTCCTAATTATATCTAATGAAGGACTAAAGGCAATGAAGAAATTTTCAACCAACTCTGGCAAGCAGAAGTCAAGCTAATGGAAGTTTCTCAAGATTTTACAAAAATTGAAAAGCCCCCAACCTGAATTTTGAAATTTGTGGAAAACACATTTTCTGAACTTTGTTCTACCTTAACCTCTACTCTGCCATCTATCTTACACACTCACTCCCTAATTTCCAGCTCTTCAAAATTTCTCCAGTGATAGCATCTCCATACTTCCTATCAAATGTAATATTAAAACCTTTTATATTTTACTGCTAGAGCTGCTTGTCTGTAAGCCAGCCTGGAAGCAAAGTCCCTACACTTCTGTCAGACAGAGAAACTGCTATCAGCATGACATTCAACAGTGTCAATCATTCACAGGTAATTTTAAAGCTTCATGAATAAGCACTAGAACTCAATATTATAACTGGGAGATACTCAATTTCATAAGAAGAGAAGCTTTAAGCATCAAGTTAGTTAAATTTCTGTCTTACTGTTAAGTAAAGTTTCTGTCTCTCTTCAATTAAAGCTTGTTTAAAGTTTAAAAGATCCCTGGAATATTTTCTATGAATTTTAAATAAAATATTATTACAAGAATTTGTGAATAAAAAATCCAGAAGACAGGGCAATTTCAATAACACATTTTAAGAGGAAAGGGAATTGCTACGATTGATGACATCTCTCTACTAGGACAGAGAAATGTCTAACACCCCAAAATGGTTTCTGGCCATTTTTATTTATTGAGTTATTAATATACTTTAATTAATAATATTCACTCCAATGGTAATGAAAGAGAAACTTCAATGAAATTGTTCTGAGCAGTCACCCAGGCACTTCTTACAGAGAACAATGAATAATGTATTTATGTCATACGGACCAACGAACCTCAACAGGATACACGTGTAAGTATTATCTGCTAGAAAGGCTGGCAGGAAAAATAGTAATTATTACTTCACAGTACTTACCCTCTTGTTTCCTCTTCTTGTCCTTTTCCTCTCTGTATTTTAATCCACTGTTCCAGCTGCAGCATGGAGTTGGTTCTCTGCATGACCCGCTCAGAGTCCACGTGTGACGGCACCGCGTTGTGATGAGCTCCATCCGCAGCGTCCGCCAGGACAACCCCACCTTTACTCTCAGACCCATTCAAATGGACTGGTCTGAAGTGTCCAGCCTGGATCGTGCTTATGGGCAAAGTCCTGTACTCGGATCCCAAAGGATTTAGCTTCACACTGTTAATTTTTGTTAATGGTTTATCTTGCCCAACTTTCTGGAACCCGTACTTTTCGGCTTCCAAAGCTTTCTTCTCCTCGTTTTTGTTCACTTCTTTGTTTTTCTGGTTATTTTGTGCCTCTGGCTTAATTAGCACCCGGTGGTTTGAAATATTATTTGCCTCTCGAGGTGATGTATTTTCAATGGTTAGCTTCTCAATTCTGGAAGGGAATATATGACAAGTTATAATATTGACAACCAACAGAACATTCATTAAAATAGAAATAAAAAATTGAAAGTGAATATATTGGTATTTATCACGGTTATTTCAGTGAATCCCTGTCCAGATATTTTATAACAATATCTTGACTATGAGACAGAAAAATCAGGACATATTTTCACAATAATCAAGGATGGGTTGTAGGTTTTGTTGCTCTTGGATATTCTGGTTTTGTTGTTGTTGTTATTGCTGGATTTTTTGTTTGTTTGTTTGTTTTTAATTTTGTTTTGGGGTTGGTGGTAGTGTTTGGTTGGTTTGTTTTTTGGTTGGCTGATTTGGGGTTTTCTGGTTCGAAAGTGTGAGTATTTTTTCTTCTACACTTCTTTCTTTGCTATTTTAAAAGCAATTATTACACGAGGTAAATTTTTTAAGTCACCCTTCAATTAACCCCTTAGAGAAAATGTGCACAAGAGGAAATAAAGCCAGAGTCTGAAAAAGTGGATGTAAGTTCCTGGAGGGCTGCACGTTCAAGAAGTAAAAATATTCAGTGGTTCTCTAAGAGCTACAGCTTCCAAATGTCAACAGACTGGAATTCAGATGATTTTTAAAGTCAACTTGTGATTCACAATACTGCTGAATTTAACATATAATGTTAAAGAAACATTTAAAGAAAGCAAATGACTTTTCATGGTCACTGGTATCAATTAGGTTTCTCCAGTATGTTATCGCTTTGGCTTGCATAGACTTTGTGGGAAATGACTGTGGCTTTTCTAAATTTAAGGGGGAAAACAGCTGCTGACTTAAGGAACTGTACCACAGTTAAGGAACTTTTTCCATACTGGGACCTGAACTTCAAGTCCAGCCCAAACAGTGACTTTTTCAGTTCACTAGGAAAAAAAACCCCACCACTTTAAAATGTTTTGATCAACATTTTTTGGTATGGGAGCAAAAAAGAGGAAGAGATACAATTTTTTAAGATTACATCTCTGCATAAAACCAAACTAAGAACAACACTTTATTTTTAGGATGATGTCAAATCAACCTTTCACAAATCAACCTTTTCATAGTTTTGCATCTTTTTTGCAAATGCATTATTCATCTTTATAACTGTGGCCAGTTCAAGTGTCTGTAAAAAGGCCATCACACATACAAAGCTGACCAAGGGTACAGATGGAACCACTCCTCTGAAAAGGGCTCTAATTCCAAGCAGACTAACTACATGCATGGCTGTAAACATTATTGTTTACCCCATCTTGAACAAGAGGCTTAGTTGTTCAACAAGTCCACACTTCCCCACCACATTATTTAAGTTGTGAATTCCCAAAAGGCCAGCTAATTTGGGACAGAACCTCTGCAAATGCCTAAAGGACAGAAAACTGTACGGTCCTAATAAAATACCACCCACTGCTAATAATATTGGACACTTAATTTTAAATGCACCTCCCACGACCACCCTACTCTTGCTATGAATGCTCTGTGATGTGGAAGGAATCAAGAGACTCCTGCCTTGACAAATACACCATTTCAAACACATCACTCAGAAACAGCAAGACATCCATGTCCTCTGGATAGTGTGTGTGAGTTAAGACAAAATGCTTGTGTACTCTGCATGATAACAAGGGTGGTTTTTTTTTTTTTCCCTATGCCTCTTCCTCACATAGCTGTGATGACCCCAATCTCTGCTTGATACTTCATGATGTTATAAAAGTCCCCCAAAATTCACTCTAAAAGTGAATATAAGTAGGTCAAAATAGTCCTTGTCTTTCAGTGATTATTCCTGAGCTGCCAACGTGAAAGTGTCCACACATGTCAAATGTGCTGCAAATGAAAACATTCATACCCATAATCTAACATGAACATCTCTTTGGCTATGTATGTTGGCATTATTTTTAAACATGGTGTTTTTTCTCATGCATCACTATTAAATGCAGATGTTGGATCCATCTGATGTTTTCTGCTAGAAGAAAGGACTGTGTAATGTTTCTGCCAACCATAATTTCTAGAGGAAAAAAATCTCGATGCTGAAACAGTTTTTACGTAGACTTTTGTGAGGGAGGTGGAACTACTACACCTACATCACCTCTTCTATAATTTCCAGGTATCAGCAAAGAAATGCTATGCTAATCTCCTACTAAAATTTAAAAGTGAGGGGTTTTTTAATTTACTTTTTTTGTCCCTGAGACTTCAAATTGTTCTGAAGCCCAAATATTTCTGCCTAGGTTCCTTCTCAAGACTATGGGAAAAAAAAAATGGATCACTTCCTCATTCCCACCTTAAAACTCTACTACCTAGTCTTCTACCAAAAACTAAAGGAATTCCCCAAACAGGAATCTGAATGAAAAATTCTATTTCCCACAATTATCAAGTCAAAAAAAGGCATTAAGATTTTATCTTTCAGCCAGAACTCAAGAGTTCACAAATGAATGTATGGATTAGCTTGCAAATAATCCTAAACATGGGCATTAATATATGCAGCATGCCTTAAGAGCACCACTTATCCCTTTATGTAACACTTCCTATAAATTTTTCTCAAGCTTTACGGCAGAGAAACAGCTGCCATTTTACAGATGGAAAATCCACAGTGCAGAGGGAGAGTGGCATCTCTAAGGACATTCATCACTCATGTGGTCAAGACTCAGAACAGTGTCTGATCCACAGTCTCACACTGCTTTCCACTGTCTGTCCTAATTAAAAAAAAAAAACAAAACCAAAAACAAAAACCAAACCAACAAACCCCCAAATCACAGAACTGTTTTTCCATGCAATCTCAGTGCTGTATCACTGGTTACTATGGTTATACACAGGAGAGCCAAACATTTAGATCTGACATTCTTTGTAATGGTGTAGAGCCTGAATGACTGATGTTCAAACAGACTTCTGGTCCCCCCTCTAACTTGGTGCACCAAATCAGTCAGCTCTGTGTGAGCAAGGGATCTCTTTCCACAGTGAAGGATGCAAGAGGGAAAAAAAATTATCAGAAACTAACAGGCAAATGTAAGAAACATAAATCCATATGTATATTTGGCTCCATATTTATAGCTAGCTCTCAAAGACTGGCAGGCTATTTGAGGACGGGATAGGGAGAAGAGGAAGAGAATGAGCACTGAACACGTGTCTTTCAGCATATGCTGGATGCAATTTATAGACTCCTACAACCCAAAAGGAATAATATGTACGGAAATGTAATACAAGAAAAGTACTGTTTTACGCTGATTTATATAAATAAGGAATTCTGAAAGGGTTGGGGAGGGGAAGCATGTAATTAATTATCAGATGGATGCGATGCCTGTGATTTAACAAAGCCAGGCAGGGGCATTTGGAAAGAAAAAGCCATCTTTTCCAAGCACAGTGACGTCAGTAAACCTCCACTGTGGATGTCACTATGCTAACAAGTGCTTTTTTGGCAGCCTAGCTTATGCTGTTCAGGAAAAGTAACTACATCAGGAGGAAAAGAAATATCTTTTCTTAGTACATCCTGCATCCCTGAGAAGAAACAAAGGCTCCAATACACAAGCTGACAGTGAAAGGCTAGAAAAATGACACTCAAAAATGGAGAGCAGAGAAATCAGTATTTAGGGTGAAAATGTTAAATCAATATGCTGGTTGGACATTACCACCTACAGACACAAGCAAGTACTCAGATCCAACTCAACTGTGGCCCACAGTCACACAACGTGGAATAACCAAGATGTTTTGCTGACCCAGAGGGGCTGTTTTGAGTCAAAATTTTGGGTTAAAAGATCCTCATTGACTACATTATTTGTGTTTAATTATTTTGGTAAGTCTCTCAGTACACCATTAAACTTGAATTTACTATCTAGGTAAATTAAAAATGTTTAGAAAGGAGTAATTACAATTAAGTCAATAGGACCAAACAGTATTTGTCCTTCCCTGCAGCGATACATCAGAAGGGAGTTTTTCTGCTGTTAATGCAGATTAGTTTTGAGAGAACTGGTTACATTTTTATTTTCTCACCTTCTGTTTTATATGGCTAACTCTAAGTGGAAACTAATAGTTTATGGGAAACAGGTAACCCTCCTTCCCCCAGCTTAATGCTTTAAATATTCCTTTTATCTTTTTTTCTCTCCAAGGAACTCACATCCCCAGAAAAACAGACACAGATTAAAACCCTAAAATTATTTAAAGCTAAAACATTTGGTTTAACAGACTGTTGGGTTTGATTTCCAGAGTACCATAAGCAGTGAAACACCTTGATTTCTAGATTTAAAGAACTATACTGCAAAAACTCTTGGCTTATCATTGGGTATTTTACATTTAACAAGCACTTAAGAGTGGCTCAACATCAGCTTGCATGAATATTTAAGGAAGCAATTCTTAATAACTCATCTATTGTATTGCAATCTAGTCTGTTAGAAAACCATATTCAGTACAATGTCAGCACCTCCAGAAAAAACAGAATTGAGAAACAAAAGCACTAATTTTAGCTAAATTTGACTGAACCAAAACCATTTACACTTAGAGCTGCATGCATGCCAAACTTTAGGTTACTCAGAGATGAGGTAATAAAACACTTAATACTCAACAGATTTTTACAGAGAAGGAACAGTATTTCTTCTGCATAAGATCATATCCTGCTACATTTCATTTTAAGAAGTGGTCTGATAGCCAAAAGACAGATTCCTTAGAAAACAGATGTCTGAAGGATTTTCTTCCTTATTATAGCTAACAGACATGAAAGTCTTTGAGACTTGGTCTTGAAATGTATTTTCTCTGAAGTAATTATTTCAAGGTTACTAACAAAGTTTTCAAAGAAGTCACATCTAATTCTGTTTCATTCTAAGGCTTCTTGCCTGAATTAAAACAACAAGATGGTGTTACATAAGTTGCTTTTCTGACACTTGTTTGGCTGTTGGCAAGCCTGTTCAGCCTGTGATACCCAGGCAGGGATGCACAGCACTGCAAATACCAAATAAAGGTTATTTCAGCGGTTCCAAAAAAGATTCAGAATAAGCCCCCTCAGTATTATTCCCTCTACAAAGTGCTTATACAATTGATATATCATTTTTGTTTGAAGTTAAGTGGGCTTGATTTGGTTTAATAATTCTTCCATACGTATCATTGTATCTGCAATACAAGACTGATTTTTCAGATTAATTTTATTATTCACTAAGTTTCTCTGGTACTGTGCCTATGAGATTTTTTTTTTTACTACTTTTTTTTTTTTTTAAACTTGAAATTTCTCAGCATTGCTGACATTCATGTAGCTCCAGGGTAGCAGGAACTAACAGAGCAGAGAATAGATCAAGTGACAGCAGCCATCAGCAATAACTTCTGTGCCATCAATAACGAGGAGCTTTTAAACTTCCAATTGATGAGGTTTCCATTACAGATGTCACAGAGCCGACCCAAGGGACCACATTCCGAGAGAAAACCATTCCCACTGGATAGACAGCAGCAGACAATATTCTCTTTCCGAGAGCACAAGGCTCCCGGTGATAACTTGCTTTTCATTGTCAACACATGGATACATAAAGATAAGGCTCCAGATAGGTGAGTATAAATTTGATGACAGCTTAATGATGAACAAGAATGGCTCCCCACAGGTTGCCCACAGGTACACCCATTTAATTTAGCCAGAAAATCCAGTGTGAATTTGAGACTTATGACAGGTTTAAGCCAAGGGCTACCACCAGTTGAGCTGCTATTGCTATTCAGTGGGGAGGGCAGGGGAAGTCAAACATGCCTACACATACTATTTGTCACTGCACTTCTTTTGATGCCACTGGCTAAAGGAGTAAATCAGGGTTTTTTTTTCTAGCTCCTTACAATCAATATTCAGAACAGAACTTGGGTTATTTTTACTACTTCAAAATTTTATCCAGCATTCTTACATTAGTTAGGGGTCTTCAATACAAGGAGAAATTACTTCAGCCAATTTACATTCTGTTTTCAGGAACACCTTTTCACTACATCAATGAAATTAAATAAGAGAAAGCAATACACTGTTCCACTGTTTTGTCAATCCACACTACCTTTTCACAGGCTCTGTCTGCACAAGTGCTGCATCTATCATGGCTTTCATCCACAGCTCCATTTCCTTCCCTGTATCTGTGCAGAAATAATAGGTCCTCATGTTTGGATGAGCTGCCTGATTGGAAATGACATGGTCATTGCAATAAAAATATAAGATTCTGTAAAAGAAAAGAGGCAAATATTGTTATTGCATACTCACTCTAATGCTTTATATAATAAGATTTCTGCAAATAATACTATCAGAAAAAATATGAAAAGGAATACTACAATGTTTCTCGGTCACTGCATTCATATTTTCAAAATAATTGCCAGCAATTTTCAATCATAGTTGTTTCTTCATTAATATGCGAAATAAAAAGTCCTTAAATTTCTTCAATCTACTAAAAACTGTATTGATCATTCATTAATGTAAATTGATATAGTTATTATAAATAAGACTTTGGAACAGATTTTGGCAGCCTGAATGATACAGTAAGTTTTCAGTTGTACTTACCATAGTAAATAAATGATGTGCTGGTTAGGAGACCAAACGAAGTGCCAAAAGGAGCTCATAAAACAACAACAAAAAAAGCCAGGAGAAAATATTTAGTGAAGTCATTTATATCATGATTTAAAAGGTCAGCTGTGAAACACTCCTAACAATGGTTCATGCAATATTGTGATTTAAGTGAAAATAAATCCTTATTTTTATTTATGTGTAAAGATACCTCATATCTGAATAACTAAAGAACATTCATTAATGAGGTAAGTTCAGCTGCAGATACTGATTTATAACTCTAAAGCACCACACAGTATTTAAGATCCAAGATACTACTAGTGAGTGATATCCATCCACTTTCCCATTCTAGTAATTCTATATTTACATCAGGCTAAATACTTGAAGCTTCTGCTACTGTATTATGCAAAAATCAGCCTCAGAAGCTGTTTGTCAATCCTGTTGTACATAATAACTCTGTGAAATGAGCTCTTATCACCAGGCTATTGTGCTTTCAGATACAAAAATCAAGTGGAAAAATTGATTCCCTTACCTTAAAGGCATATTTGCGGTTAATATGGTCCTCAGCAGACAGCATAGATATCTGAAAGCTAGGTAGAAGTATGCTACCCAGTATTCCCTCTTCTTTCTCATCTGTGAATGCACAATCTTTGATTAGAGAAGCAGTGTTTTGACACGTGATTGTATTCAGACACTTCAGTCAAACTCTTGTGTTCAATCACACGAGACCACAAACCAGACATTCACCTCAGAGGAAAAGGCATCCGAGAACCAGAGAGCCAGACTGAGCTGTGCTCCAGGGATCTGTGTGCAGTCTCAGAAGGGGGCAGTTCCCAAGGGCAACTGTGCAGCCCCTCTCTGCCAACACGTGCCACACAACGTGTGGTGCCCCCAAAAACCTGCCAAGCACCGTGAAACCTCGCCCACCTCTGACTTTTTCCCCGGGATGGGCAAGCGTAAAGACCCCTCCTGAGTGTGCAGTTCTGTACACGTTTAAGCAGGTGAGCTCCCTCATGGAACTTGATGGAAAACAACACAAATAGCTATGCCCACAGTCTTCCTGGGGATCAGTGCTTACCTGACAGTGACTTCAAAACTGAAGAGCAGATGGAAGCCAAGCCTCTAATTCAGTGACAAGAACAGTAACACCTGCTATCTACTGCTCTGTAAAAACTGCAAATACCTGTGACATCACCAGTATTCTATAAAACACTGCTTATTGCTGGCCTGTGAGAAAATTTGCACATTCTTCTTCTGATCTCAAGGGTATTATGCTACATAATTCCCATTATAGTATTTAATGATAATTCCCTTTGTAATTCCTGCAAAGAGTTTACACTCGATTACATTCTATTTGTAGGAATGCATATGCAGAAAACAAACTCTCCCCCAAACAAACACCCTTTTCCAAGAACCCTGTTTTACATACAATTTTAGAACGATACATTATAGTAATAAATTGACATTTTAATTGGAAGCCACAACCAGCTTTTAAATCCAATTATACTCTAATAAAGGAATAATTGAATTCAATTCACAAAGTCAGTCTTAATTGTATTTCATGTAGAGAACTTCTACTCACAGCCATATCTTAGAGACTGTCCCCTATAACACTTCTCGCAGATGAACACAGTGCCCACAATAAATGACTGTGTATCTATGAAATTAGGATGAAAACATAGATATTCCAAAATTTCAAGCATGAAAAATCAACACTGCTGCAATTAAAGCACAAAAGGGTTATTGCTTATGTGTGGATTTAAAAATATTTTCTCCGTTCTCCTTTACTCATTAAATTTTGAAAAGCCACAACCTTCATTTAGGTTATTTATGTGGGGGAAGCTCTGCCCAGCCATTGTAGTATTACATGACAGGTCAGATGTAAAAATTATGCTTTTTAGGATAGTTATTTAATTGGAGAGCTGAGCATAAAATTGTTCTGATTAAAAGACAGAGATGGAGTGGATCTACTCTCAGGTACTCAACTGTACTCAAAAGTATGCCTGAAACCATCCCACCTTCCCCTCTCAAACATTTACTCCCTGTCAGCCACAAAAAAAAAAAAAAAAAAAATCTGCCTTTTTTCCCCTGCTGTCCTTGAACACATGGCAAATGCTGGGGTTTACTTTATTTGGACTGTTGTTTGGGGGAAAAATTCTTCCCTTCTGCTAGATTATATTTTGACTTATTACTGAGTCAGTCACACCCACTACTGCCATATAAAAGCATTAGGCATTTTTTGTTCCACTGAACAGCTGGAGGACTTGGGTCTCCGTTAAAGACATATTGCTACGTTCCACTTCCAGATTTTCAAAATCTGTTTCCAATCAGACTTGCTTTTATCTGCACATTACACCGCACTCATCTTTACATGTGTGCTCTGTATGAACAGTACAAGAGAAAAACAGCAGATCTTCCGTCCAGTTCTAAGAACTTTTACTTGTGGCAACAATAACCCTCCAATATGAAAGCGGAGAGTCTTTCATCCCTCCGTGAAACAGAAAAGGAATATTCTCTTAGCTCTGAAAAAACACAGTGACAAGATTTTCTTTTCATCTACACACTGTATTTGAGTTGTCAACATTGTAACACACTTGCAGACGTTCAATAAGACAAAAAAAAAAGCCCCCAAACAACCACAATCATGCAACCAGAAACACAGTTTGCTATCTGGGGGCAAGGGCACAGTTCCCCCCTTTCTGTTTTAAAATGTCTGAGATAGAATTAACAGAAACATAAAAGCACAGGGTGTAGAGTGAAAGTTTTTGGACTATCACTACACATTTAATCATAGTTTAAAGCTTTTACTCTAGCGAGTGGTAGCTAAAAACTAAATTTATCGTGTAAACAATTTAGGTTGTTCTGTTTGAATTTCAACTTAGTGGGCAGATCAACATGTAGAAATTAAAAAGTAAGATAAAAAAGCTGTTTGGATTTATTTTATTCTATTTTATTTATATTCTTTCTTTTTTTAATTGCCTTTTTTGTTTTAATTTATTTTGAGATACTTCCTGTGCTGTGCTTTAAGCAATTTAACCTGTTCTTACAGCAGCCACAAAGAACTTTCTTTAGAACCTTTAGAAGAGAAAACCTAAGGACTTGTTAAAAAGAAGAAAACCCTGTAAGAAGGCACAGTTAATGACCCTTAAGTAAACACAGTGTAACTGTATCACTCGATGCCTCCATGACCGAAATTACAGCCTAATTTCGACTCTGCAGTGGTTTATCAAAGTATGTATATTTCTTAGGGTAGAGAAATGAAGCCTAATGATTATATTTTAATAACTCAGAATTTGTTAACTAAACCAGCTGCAGTTACAGACCTTTTACGTTTCATGACCTGATTTGTCTTTGATTAGGTCCATGCTGCATTTTAATAGAACACCATTTTAAATGTATCTGTCACTGCTTTCAGCATCCCCAGCATCAGCACCACTTCTACCAATTCTGAAGTCTCATCCTACAAACTGAAACCCTTTCTTAACTCTCCACCTTCAGCTACGGCAGCAGATGGCCTTAACTGTTCATGTTCCTCTATTTTGCTTTACAACCCTCTTTGCTCTTGATTTCAGGATTTAATATCCATATGCACCAAATCCCATTTGTTTATCTCATCAGGAGCACTACAGTTAATAACCTGTAATGGGGAAGGAATCAGTTTTCTAACTCACATAACTCCAGACCAGAATTACAAACAGCTAATTTTCCCTGTGTAAAATAAGTCTGATGTAGCTACATAAGGTTACTAAGAGATTCCAAATACGGCAGAGACTTCTACTCTTATGGAATTGGACAACATTTCACTTTATAAGTATTCATGAACACTGATTAGAGTTCCCAAAGGTGTATATATCCTCTTCTCATTCCAAAGGCAGAGTTTCTGCTCCCCTGCACTATCCCTTCCCTGTCCCCATCCCTTTCAGTTACCTAAACTGAACGGAAAATCAGATTTAACCTGACAGAGTTTCTAGTAACAGAAGCAGTAAGAAAACTACAATCCAGAATTTAATAACAGAGGTGGCTGTGAATGGGTTTGCCCTCTGAGCATACCCTGACAGGCAGGAAGCAATTATGTGAAATTGGTAATTAAGGAAGTAAGGGGAAAAAAAAAAAAAGATAAAAGTAGCAGGCCTGGATATTGACAGCTATACAACCTTGTTAATCCATTAAGTTAAGTAGCAGCTTCTTATTTCTTACATTTGAGTGCTGTGTCAAAATGTATCTGCTTCCAGTAAAATTAGCAAACAAAGGTGCCAGGAGTGGAACTCACCTCTGTAATAGAAGAGACACAGGTCAGAGAGCACAAACCACCGCTTCTTCCACAGCTTCATTCCAGTGCTATCCTGCATGAACCAAAGTGATCCGGTCAGAGCTCTCACACTGTTGACAGCAACTGTTCCTAAAGTAAACCAGGTACTACATAACTGTGCTGGTGTGCTAGGAGCTCATTTCCTTGGCTATTTTAAATAACTTGGACTTTTCATCACGACTTGTCACTGCATACAAGTGACACAGGAAGCCTGAAGGTAACAGGGTATCATGGAATTGTTTAGGTTGAAAAAGACCACTTAGATCAATATCCAAACTAAAACTCCCTTGGCATAACTTGAGGCTGTTTCTTCTTGTCCCATCATTTGTTACCTGGGAGAAGAGGCCAGCCCCTACCTCCCTGCAACCTCCTCTTAGGTCACTGTAGAGAGCAAGAAGGCCCTCCCTGAGCCTCCTTTTCTCTAGGCATTCTAGAGGCTACAATACACAGTTAAAAAGAAGAAAAAAAAGAAGCATATATATATATTTTTTTTTTTAAGTAAAAGAGCAAGGTAATACTTGGGGTACATCCTCCTTTGTTTTCTGAAGAAACTCTGCTGAACTCCATCTTCTACCTACTACCACTCACATTCAGAGCAAATTTCTTTCCCAAATAAAGTTTATTCCCAAAGCAATTTCATTTTCTTTTATGTTTATAGCCAATTTACACTGCACAACCCAGAATGAAAGACTACCAGTGTAAATAAGCCTGAGCATCGCAGCACACACATCTTGGTTGAAACAGATGTAATAAATATGTTAATCTGTTCCAAGAAGAAAAGTATGTGTGAATTATCAATATTCTTGTAGTAAACAGGTTTTTTGTGACAACCAAGAAGAGGGATTCTATAATGAAAAACTGTGGGGTGGAGTGGGTTTGGTTTTGGGGTTGGTCTCCTCCTCCAAACACACACCCCTGACAAAAGTCAGCATAATTTTTAGCCTCATATTTCAAGCTCTTCTCTTTTTGGGGTAGGGGAAATGAGCTAAAAGAAGAAAAGGTAAAACAAGCATTAGCTAAGAAATATTATTCAGAAAATGTATGTTCACTGTAAACATCTTCAAAAAAAGAGAGTTGGCTCTGGACTTAAAAATTAGGAGAAAAATGGAAGAAGAGTGTCATGACATGCATTGAGACAGAACACCCTGAGTTAAACAATGACTGCCATTCTCTGTGATTACATAAACATGTTGTACTGTCAAAAAGAAACCTGCACGAGCTTTCACTATAAATTTCTGAAGATTTATCTGTTGATAAAACCCTTGAGTGAACTGGCTTTCAGTTACTACTACAACATGGAAACACTGAGCAGTCCCTTTCCTTGCAAACACTGATCAAACATCACACTGTTTCAATCATTTTACACATAAGCCCTGTGCAACAGTAAGCAGTATGACAGTGAGGTGGATTAAAAACTGGTTTTACTGCCAGGTCCATGGAGTGGGTGACCAGTTCCTTGTGATCTGCCCCCAGGGGTTGATACTGTGGCCAAGACTATTTAACAACTTCATTAATGAGCTCCACACCCTCAGCAAGTCTGCAGATAATACACATTATGAGGAGAGGCTCCTACACCAGACAGCTGTGCTGTCATTCAGAGGGCTGGGAAACTGGGTAGAGAAGAATCTCTTGAAGTTCAACGAAGTTAATGCTCAGTCCTCCGATCTGGAGAGGAATAACCTCGTGCACCACCATGAGCCAGCAATGCACCCTCATGGCAAAGAAGGCCAACAGCATCCCAGACTGCTTTGGCAGAGCTGCCAGCAGCCAGAGGGAGGACATCCTTCCCCTCCACTCAGCACTAGGGAGGTCTAGCTGGAGTGCTGGGTCCAGTACTGGGCTCACTGGTGCAAGAGAAACAGGAACACGCTGGAATGAATCCAGCAAAGGGCCACAGAGTTGATGAAGAGATTGGAGCATCTTCCATATGAAAAGAGGCTGGAGGGAGTTGGGACTGTTCAGCCTGGAGAGAGGGGGCATCTTATCAGTGTGTAGAAAGACCTGATGTAAGAATGTATAGAGAAGGTGGAGCCAAACTCTTGCCAGTGACAAGAACAGAAACAATGGGCACAAATTAGGAAACACAAAATTCCATTTAAGCAGAGGTCAACTTTTTTGCTGTGAGAGTGGTCAGACACTGTCACAGATCACCCACAGAGGCTGTGGTGCAGGGTCCATCCCTGAGGATATAGTCCTGGACAACCTGCTCTAGATGAGCCTGCTTGGGCAGGGGAGGTTGTGCTACATGATCATAAGGTGCTTTCTAACCATGACAACTGTGTGATCCTGTGATCTTAAACTATATCCAGAAAACATTGCTTTAGGAATAGAGCTACTTTATTCAAGCTAAAAAGTTTTACAGCCCCATAACAAAGCAACAAAATCTCTCACTTTTGTGAGGGTTTTTCACACTCAACACTGAATCAGAGTAGAGGCCACAGGATTGTCTAAACATGGAAGAACCTTCCACTTAAACAGATACTTCTAGATCATATTATCTGGGGAGTAATTTTTAAAAACTGACTCACCAACAGCATCCAGAAAGCTATGCAGGTCATTCCAGTCTATGTGAGTAGGCACAGTAAATGACAATGTACATCAAAACTACATACACACATGTCTCAGCTGAGTTAAAATTATAAGTTCTTAAAGGGTTGTTGGTGGATTTTAAAAACATAGTCCTAATATGACCTAATGTTCATGTTTTTGGTCATACTACTTTACTCTGAATTCCTGCAAACCAGTATAGTGCAAGTGGTCTGGTATTGCAGAACAGCAAATCTACTGCAGGCTAGGAACACTGTCACTAAATACTAGGAATATTTTCAATATTGCCTATCTTCTACAGGAAAACCTAAAAACATCTCTGGTTTTAAGATTATTATGTTTAGGAAATTAGGCACACCTATGCAAAATACGTGATGGCTGCACTTCCAATTTTTTATTGAAAATATTCACTTACTTTTAGAAAAAAAATTTAGGACTATAGCAAAACAAACAAACAAACCAAAAATACCCCCTCCCCAACATTCTGGGCCATGCATCCTTGTCCCATCATCTTGACATGCTGGAAATTAAATCAGCTATTTACTACCAACATCTGCCTAGATTTTTGAAGTCCTCCATGTATTATAGAGAGAATTATGTATGTATAATCCATCAATGTTCTTTACTCGTCTGATGTCCTTATTTGTATCAGAATGATATCCAGTAAGTAGATAATTAATTGAAAACCACAAGTCAGTTCCTTCAGTTTGCAGCTTCACTCTGCTATCACTGTATTTTACATAAATGACTGTCTTTTGCAATTACACACATTATACAAAAAAAAGAAGGGGCTGAAGAAGGTAGAGTACCTGTTTGTAGAGCCAGCCACGTCTGACAACTGGTGCATTAGGATTTCTCTTTATGGAGTTCGATCTCTTTCCGAAATTATGAACCTTCTTTGAAGATCGCGATGTCTAAATTGAATTGAACAGGTTAAAGAAACCATGACATCAATATCTGTTGAAAAATCATAACACACTTTCTTTGCTTTAAGAACTTTTTCTTGTACGTGTTCCTCTGGGGGACTGCAGAACACAAACTGTATTCCTTTTCTGGATAAATAATTATTGTGATGGTTCTGCTGGTTTCAGCATTTCTTTCATTTCTTCTGCAGAAAATACAAACACAAATCCCAAGACAAGTACTTGAAGATTTTACTTTTTTTTAACCAGAAAAAACCCAAACAAATACATATCTAACCTTCTTATAAGGAAGGCAGAATGCCTACTGCGTTGTAGAAATGGAAGTGAACTTTCAAAACCATTAATAATTATGAAAAATTACATCACCTGGGCAGAAAATTCTTCTTACTTGCTTCCAACACTAACCTAATATATAAAAACTTGTCCAGATTTCAACAAGATATAACTCCCCCTTTCCTAATATATACAAACTTTTTATTCTTTCTTTATGCTCAAGAACCTTTTGCTCCGTGATCTCTTGGCTGGTTTAAATATTCACTATTTTACCTGCTTCCACTAAGGTCTACTTTGAAACTTTTGCCCTGAAACTCCAGTGCTTAAATTTGCTGTTGCTTGTACCTTTTACCACCTTGCAATGATCACGTATGACTAAGAGAAGTAGGAGAAACAACACATTTTAGATTTTATCCTTCTACTTGAATAACCAAAAGAAATTGGAAAAGGCATAAAGAAACGTGCAGTGCTTTGCCAATTCACACTTCCATTCTTCTCAGCCTACATTTAGAAAGTCTGTTCTGTAACTGAACATTTACTTGTGTTTTAAATTCTGTAAGAACTGCTGCCTCAGAGACCATGCCACGTGACAGAGTAAAAGAAGTAAAATTCCAGTAAGTTTTTTTTAAGCTGTATTCATGGCTCTGCTTCAAATCCACCATTTGAATTGAGACAATATAATCCCTGTGTCTCAGCTTCCCTATCTCTGCTACTGAGACTAACCATGAGGGTATGCAAAATTCCTAAAGGAGGAATGCTAAACACACACTCAGGTTTTGTTGCAAATGAGGGTATGGGGGTTCTCCATGGAAATTCTCTCAAATTGTATCACAGAACTAAGCTGGGTTTTATACATGCTTCAGAGAGAGTTCCACAGTAGGTTAAAGCATAAACTGACAACTTAATTCAAAATTACGTGCAGCTTTTGTCAACAATGCCATTAACTGAAGGATACATCGCTTGGCTAAGAAAGAATAACATCACACAAATGATGTGTGTTTGCCTAAAGTCTACAACACAATGAAACAAGGACGTTTTGTCTTTCTCTTCTTGCAAGAATCATGAGGGAATATAAAAACAATCAGAGCGCTTATAATTTCCCTCGAAGATACAGAAATTTGACTCAGCTCTGGGAGGCACGACAGGGCAAGCAACTCAAAAGCAAATTAAGAATAAAAGGAAAAAACTGCCACATTTTCATGTGAAAAATTCTACCACTGCAAAACAGAGGTTTGTAAGAAGCCAAGAGAATTATGACATCCAGCTGTGAAAAAGCAATATACAGAGAACCTATAACAATCCAGTTATAAAGTGAACTACATCTCTCTCAGTTAACCTGCATGACTTGATATTGGCATATCACACAAGAGCTGTGCCAACATTTTGATCAGAAATAATTTATAACACTCATAGTTGCTCTAATATTAGGTATTAAAGGTTCAAAGCCTCTCAAGAGTGTTCCAGAATTCCTATACTTGTAAAAATAGCTAATACATTAAAGATACTTCTGAAAACACAACAACCACAAGTACTACTAATGTCAAGTCTACCAGCAAATTCAGATAATTTAGACAGCTGTCTCTAAGGTAGGTCTGATAAAAAACCATATTGACTCCAATTTCACTGAGCTAACAGCAAAGTTTTAACGAGTTACATCCTACCAAGTGTGAATACAAACTTCCTTTAATTAAATGCAGCATCACAAGTGCTTTCTAATTTTACTTAATACAGAGAACACTTTAGATGACTCGTGATTGTTTTACCTCACACTGCATAAAGAGAGTAACTGGTCACAACAAACCCTGAGCCTTGAGACAATCAGTATTTTAGGATATTGAAATACTGTAGGTGCATATATAAACTAATTATGAGTTCTCAGACTTTTTATATTACCTCCTCCTCTTGTTATGCCTAGGATCCCTGGCCATTACATATTCTCCCACACATATCTAATTATCTCAAACTGTGGACACAGAAAGACGGGAAAAAAAGAGAATTGAACGGTTCAAGTACTTTTCACCCCAGAGAACTAAAAATATAGGACGTATTTCACAGCTCCAGCTTCTGGAGAAGGCAAAGAAAAAAGGAGGACAGTGAATAAATAATCCAGCTACTAACTACTTGCTTAAGTTAACAGAGTAAGCAAACATAGTCACATCTGGTACCATCTGATCCCTTCCAAAGTATGATCCTGGCAACTTTGATGTCTCCAAAACGAGAACCTAAGTGAGGGACCCGGTAGGGCTCCAGTACTGAGAAAGCAGCCAGGAAGTCCAGCCAGTGATATTCGCTCTTTCCCCAAACTGAAAAAACAAACACCAGCAGGGTTTTGAGCTCTGGGCAACAGACCAGTCAGCAGCTGGGGCTGCACACTTCATCACTCTGCAAGATGCTTTTCTCCCTGCTTAGCTGGTAGAGGACACAGGATTTATGTGAGGCTTCTTCTCCAGTTTCAGAACTAGCACAAAAGTAATTCATTAACTTACTGTATATTTGAAAAACATAGGTTGAAACCAATGCTGATATGGAAATTTTCTGCATGTAAACTCAGAGAATAGAAATCTATATCTTTGTTACTTTCCAATTCTGTTTAAAAATATGTTTCCAGTCTTCAAGGCTTACATTATCTTCCAAACCACAAAGCAACATGATGCTGCCTTCTGGATTTTGTAGGCAATTTCAGTGCCTTCCAATGTTGCAGTTTTCCATGAGCTCAGTGGGTTTCTGCCTCAGCATTTCAGCTTGGACTAGGAGGTCGCTTTTGAAGCAAATCTCCCAATTATTTATGCTTACTGTGCTTTGGTTTGCATAATAAAGCAACTGGATTTAATTTAGGATAAGACTAAAACGTAAGATGCACAAGGAGCACGACTGGACTACTCTGACTATGGAAACACAGCACAGATGTTCAGCCTGAGCCCCAGTACTGCCCTTCACACTGGTCCTGTTTACTGTGCTGTTTGCTAATGAACCTCATGACTATTAATCCAAAATTTCTAGCTAACCTGAATCCTGAGAAGACAGGTAAGGCTATACCTAAACTAACCATTTAAAGCTGGACTCGCTTGAGCACTGTTTGAAATACATATAAACAAACTGATGAATATTTATAAACATCGTGATACATCACAGTGACTTATCAGAGTCATCAGGAGCTCTGCAGCATCTGTCCTGGGCTAACACTCCACTCCACTTGCTGTGAGAAAATTGTTCTGCTGATAATTAGGACAGCAATTAAGAACACCAGAGATGAGCTGTGGAGGGTGACTGGTAATATGACCCTATGACTTTACACATTAAAAAGCCGACTCCCTGAATGCATTTCATAATCGTATTTGTCTAGGTAGTGATTTTAACAGCAGGGAAAAAAATAAAATAAAATAGAGAACTACAAAACCAGTTTCTTAATTCTACACAGAGAGGTGAAAATATGTACTTCTGTAGCAATTTCAAGCCTATGCAGATCTTTTTCACAGTCAGAGGTCTGATCTAGTGGCTTCAAGTTTAGAAATACACTCCAAGCCAACTGGGAAGAAGCAGCACTTAACAGAGCTGTACTGTGTTATTTGGGCAGCATCATGTATACAGTGGGAAAGAAGGATTAGAATTAAGACTTTTATTGGGAAAGACTACTCCTTGCCTCACCTCATATTAGCCTCTGGGCAGCAGCAGATTCTTTCTGCCACAAAATAGAAACTTCTCCAAGTTCCATATCTATTTGGGATCAATTAACATTAACAAAAGGAAGAACTTACTTCCATACCCCTCATCTGTCTGAAACTTTAGTTGTACCACAAACTATTGTTCCATTCCTCACTACCTGCCAACATTAGGTGTGTTCATGAGTTATCTCTGAAAACAGAAACACCTAAAAAATACATGAAGCAACCACACAAGGCATCCTTCTGCTCTGTAATTTACTTTCCTCCACAATATTTTATTCCTCTTTCATTGTGCTGCAATACATGGACCTTCTACATATACATATATATTATATTCAAAAGCTGATAAGACAGCTAAGAATTTCAAGTCCTACTGCTGGAAGAAGTGAATAAAAACATAAAAAAAATCAGTTTTGTATTCATGTAAAACCCGTAGGCCATTTCTACACAGTAATCTTTAAAAGTGTTTTAACTCATTACCCTTAAATAACTGCCAGAAAATGCTGACTGGTATTAGCTGTGGTTCTACTTTACAAACATTCATCTCCTGAAAACAACAATTTTAAAATGGTGTGGCAATAATTCAGACAAATTCACATTAAAAAAGTGAGTTACACTAATTATACGTAGAGCCACAAGAACCACATTAATATTTTAAGTCCATTTAAATAACTGGAACAGGAAGAATGAAAAGTACAACAAGAATCTGGTTTTTTTCTTTTAAATATTATTTTCACAGAAAGCTAAAGTGTCATTAATCAATGAAAGTAAAGAAATCACAGTAACTGGGCCATAGAAATCTCAATTTCCTTCTACAACACTATGAAACAAACATTAGGCTAAAGGGCATTTTCAACTTCTCTTTTGAAAGAAGAGTGTGAAAAATATGCTTGTAAAACACATGCTCCCAAATTGTAATTAATTTCCTACATTTAACTTATGATTGCTTCCTAGAAAATTAATTTCAACAGAACTAGCTGTGTAACTATTGCATTCTACATCACTATTATGACTCTAGCAATAAGTTATCTTGGGTTTTTTGCTTGCTTGGTTGTTTTAGGGCTTAGCTGGTTGTGGGTTCTTTTGTTGTTGTTTGGGGGTTTTCTAGTTTGTTTTGTTTTAAACTGGTTTTCCTGCATGGACTTAAACATGATCATATGAAAGTTGAAATGGATTTTGTTACTGTTTATAATACATCTGTGACTATTTTTCCCCCCAGCAACATTAACAGATTAAGACACTTTTTTCATTAAATAAGTTTTCTAATGTAGGTCAAGGATTCTGTCTCACTAGATATCTAAAACAACAAATATTTCCAAAATGCACTTAAAGACATCTTACAGTGTTTTTTCCCACATGGAAAATAAATCATTTCAGTCCAAGTTTCTGAAATTAAGGAATCTGTTCAGTTAAAACACATTCCAAAGTTTATTTTTCTCTTGCAGGTTGGATTAACCTGCCAAAAAAGCACTTTTCAGGGTTAAAATTTTCAATGACTAGCAAAAGTATAGGTTTTTTTCCCCTTGTTTAAATGTTAACTAGTAGTAGAAGAGATGACAGGGCTCTGGTCTGTCATCACTGACCAGAGCTGTTATCTTGGTGTCTTAGCAAAGTCAAGGGACTTAATTTTGTATGAAGTGCACTCTCCTTTCAGGAAGACTGTCCAGACAATTAAAAAAAAAAAAAAAAAAGCACACAATAGGCTCATCAGTTTTATCCAGTAAACTTTAAAGTTGATCTAAACATTTGGGCATTTACCTTAACCCCTTGAGAAGCTGGGCAAATGGAGAAGGAAGACACAAATTCAGGTGACCCTAGGAACCTTCAGAGACCTTCTCCAGGAATTTTTCTAGGAAAGGAGGACTTCTCATCCAATGACAGCAAATCATGTCACCTGCTATTTACCACAGGATCACCTTCCACCTCTCTTGTAACTGCTTCTTATACACAACTATAACTGTTTTACCCAGAGAAAACCAGTGAATTATTTGCAATTGAGCAATTCCTGTAACAGTGGCTGTCCAGATGCCTCATCAGTCACTCAAGATTTTGCTGTTCACACAGATTAGAAAGGTCAGATTCTGTAAACAATTTAAGTATGTGCAAGTCATAAGATCTGAGTTATCTGATAAAAATTACAGCTACAGTGATAATTTGTTTCAGACACTTCAGTTTCCAAATTAAACATGAAAGGGCTCAAGTGCCCTGAAAACAGATATACCCTTTGTTTCTCTCTTTCAGTGGAATACTAAATATATAGCACTGTCTAGTACCTTATGGAATAACTGAATAATTTTAATTTTATTTGGACATAAAGACTTACTCTGCCCACAGGGCTCATTGGATGAGCAGCATAATCTGATGTCAGATTATAGTTAGTTGCTTCACATATCATGCTTACTGGTCGCTCCTTCTTTTCTTCAGATGTCATTGCTGCAGCAGTCCTGAAAATAGAATATGTAATAGCACTAGAACATGCTGTGTGTGCAGACTGCTAATAAAAAGCACCCCTAGATGTAGCCTAGTACAGCCTGTGTCCTACTTTTCCAGTCTGAAAGCAATTCACACTTCACTGCAAAGTTACCTGCACTGTGTTTTAAACTTAAATCTGTTATAGATGAATTTTAAGGCGTTGCTCTAGCACAGGATTTCTCTGTTAGTGTAAGGTGTTGGTGGGAGGGAAAAAGACAGGTAGGTATGAGCATGAGATGGAAATGGGAATAAATGTCCTCCAAAGAGCCCTTCTGGCTTTGCCCCACTTGGTGAGAACATGCAGGTTTTGAAGTTGCAGTTCTCATGGTTCCCACCCTCGCCACCGTACAACGTGTTTCAGCAGTGGTGGTGAGTAGGACACCCAAAAACCAACCACACACAAAATCCTGAGGTCAGGTATGAGTTCCATGCATATCTTCTTGGATTGCTGTGTATTCTACAAAACTAACGCTGATACAGCAAATCCAAGTAGTTATCCAGTGATTCAGAAGGTGTCTCAACTGGCCAAAAACATAACCAGATGAGGAGAAACTACTAGGGAAAATATTAATAGATTAACAGCATGTGACTGTCCCCAAGTGATCATAAAATTTATTGCTTTTTGGAAGTTTATTTGATTATTTTATAATATATAGGTCGTTTGCAAAACCTACAGAATAAGTAAAGTGACAAGTGGAAATTCACACAGTGCATAAACACGGTGCATTTCTATCATACAACTAATTTGAGCTATGGTTTTTGATCTTAAAAATTAGCATTAAATATTTATTACTACTTTCAAGTAATTTAATCAAGTAATACTATATACATGCTGATCTGACTTGGGAAAAATAAATATTGCAATTAGTAATCACTGAATCTTGCTTCAGTATTAACAGGTTTTAAAACATGTATTTTACGGAGTGAAACGGATGGCACTTACTGTTCATTCACAACAAAAATACAGTTGTCCTGCGATGGCTGTCCTGTTACTGGATGTTTGCAGGTTACTTTTCGTTCATTATGGCTGTGAAAGAGAGAGAAAGTAAAGTATTAAGCAATAATGTTTTGATTTTCCAACTCAAATATGTAAATCCGGTACAACGAATATATCAGTACAATGAAAAGAATTATGAATATTTCATTATGGCATGTAACATCATCTGTGTACACACACACAATGCATATATATTTATATATATATATAAACTAATAAAAAGGATGGTAACAACTGTTAAAGAATCTTCATTAATACCTTGGAAAGAGATGGGAAACGTTAGCACTGGGTTGGTAATGATTTTGACTTTTAAAAACTAGAGGCAGTAAAACAGTTATTAGTTCATATATGAACATAGATAATGCACCTCAGCTACGCCTTTATGTGTTCATAAGCAAGATTTCAGCTGGACAGGGACAAGTTAAACCTGAGACACACGTAACTGCTCTGTAAAGATAAAATACCACTACTGTAAAGCAGTTATCTTCTACCTCAGGAAGAAAAGGGGAGGAATTCTCTGGTTCTGGGCTCCTCAGTTCAAGGCAGACAAGGAATTACTGGAGAGGGTTCAGCACCAGGCTACAGAGATGAGGAAAGGCTGGGAGAGCTGGGCCTGTTCAGCCCAGAGAAGAGACAACTGAGAAGGGATGTTATCCATGCACCCATGTATCTGAAGGGCAGATGTCAAGAGGATGGGGCCAGAGCCTCTTCATGGTGCCCAGTGACAGGCACACACTGATACACAGGGAGTTCCACTTGAACATGAGGAAAAACTTTTTTTACTGTGAGGGTGACAAAGCACTGGAACAGGCTGCCCAGGGAGGTTGTGGAGTCTCCTTTGTAAAGATTTAAAACCTGCCTAGACGCAATCCGGTGCAACCTGCTCAACGTGACTCTGATCTCCAGAGGTCTCTTCCAACCCCAAGCAATCTGTCATTCTGTCATTTACTGCCTACCAGGTATGTCAATCAGCTGGCTGTTATAACTTGTGCCTGCTGCAGACTGGGGCTTTTCCACCCCCTCCATGCAGGATCCCAGCCCAGTTACAGCAGGAGCACACCTGAGAGCAGGGAGCTGCCACCTGGCACAGCAACAACGCTAGGAGAGACAAGGATGGCTGGATTGCCACAAGCCCCTCTGACCTTTCCTTCCCCAAAATGTAGGAAAGAGAGCAGGGAAGGTACACTGACAAAATTTAAACCTGGTTCAGTGTTTAAAAAGCATATGAGCAGAAATCAGGCTGAGAAAAGGCAACGAGTATGTAATGCAGGTGTGTTATTTGGATATCATCCACATTTCAAAACAAACTCCCCTCTTTTATTTTTAACACTTCCAAAAGTATTTATAAACAAAAAAGTATACAATGCAAACCCACCAGTATCTGAAATCAGCACTGTAAATCATGAAAAAAGTCATTCCATTTGACAGAATTTACTTTTGCAAAGAATATGTGGTGATAATGTTTCTCATGGAAGGTATCTTATATAATACTATGCCTTTCTCATCAGAAGTTCAGCTCTTAAAAATATTCTTGGACAGAAAATGAACCTGGACCAAAAAAAAGTGCTTTAGTTGCAAGATGGCAGAAGGGGTGCAGAACAACAAAACCTTTGAATGGTACCTTACCCCTAACACCTATTTCTTTTATTGCCTACTCATTTTGCCATCTTGGTTTTCAAAATTAAGCACAGTCATCTCACAAATTTTATGCTCTCTACCTTTCCTACTTCTTAAAACAACCTCAGTTTAACAAGACTATCTTTACATTCCCCACTTCTTAAAAAAACTCCTTTGGATCATAACATTTTGCAGTTATGGAGCATTATTAATTAAAAGTTGCCTCCAACCCAAAGCCTAATAAAAAATTCACACTACTTTCATGGTGAATGAATGGATAAATCTAGATAAACCTAGAGTGCAAGATTAGAAAGATAGCCCAATTCTCTGCACTTTCTCTACTGGGATTTTAAAAACCTAAATGGACAGAATGTGTTACAGAGCTTAACTAATGAGATAGCAAATGCTGGTACTTTATCTCTGTACTAAATTCAGCAGAATTCTAAGTTTAGCTTCTAAAGAAGCTGCTGTTGCAGAAATGTATCAATTACAATGAGGGGACAAGAAAGATATTATTGATATGAGGACATACTGTGCCATTCCTAATTGCCATGGTCATACAATGCCTTTTGAGCAAAAATGACCCAGATTGAAGAGAATTCAATTTCAAAACCCTCCTGAGGAAGTATCCGGTGTTGTTTTATTTTGGTGTCATTCCTTTTTTTTCTTCACTTCCAAAAAACTTTCTTTTTGTTCCCTCTGACATTTCAGAAACTCTCACACCAAACTGAAAAAAAACCCCCAAAAATCCTGTGGAGACCAGCTGGTGCTCCGCAAGCTTTGCCAAAATGTTGCTGTCTTGTTCACAATTAAACCTTGGCAGGGGGCTATCAGCTGACATCCAGAAATGCAGAAATAAGTGGATCAGGACTTCTGCTCAGGGACCACCAATACCTGGGATCACTACAGAGAAGACACATCCCATGTTTTGTGTGAGTGCACCTGGCTCACACTGACACAGCAAGAGCCCACACTCCAAGACCATGCAGGGGAGGCCAAACAAAACCAGGAGTGAAAGCAGGGAGGGGGTGGAAAACAAGAGTGAAAGGAGAGGAAGCACTGACACAAACCTGTTCAAGAATATTTTGTTTCAGGTTTGAGTCACATATATCAAGTTGGCATTCCAAAAACATCAGAATGTTCTTGGACAAAATATTGTTTTCCTTTCTACTCACATTGATGTTGAGATGTATAGGGGGGTAGCTGACATTACATAAAAAAAGGTAAAAAACACATCACAGACATGATATGCAGTACCTTCCTTCCAGACCTGTACAGTCAGTTCCTCCTAAAAAGTCAATGCAAAGGAAAAACAACCTGTTCTTTCTCTTCAGCTCAGACGCAAGTGGAATCTCATGAGTGAATCCTGGAAACTCAGCTTGTGCAACTAAGTGTGACGATTGTAAATATGTCTAACTGGATGAATAGATTTTAAATACTTCCATTTCAAAACTTTTTCATTACTCATCTAATTATGGCATTTTTGGCAGTAATTTAGCTGATATTTTGACAAGACTCCTCAAAATACTTGCGCTAGGTGCAGAGAAGCTTGATAATTATTGTCATAACCCTCCCACATAACAGTAGGTTAAGGCATTTGTTTTAAACTCCATCTTGCAGAGTGCAGAGAGTTTTATTAGAACCAAGCTACAATTTGATATTCACAATCTTCAACATCCAGTTTAGACAGTTGTTCAGTTATCTATAAATTTCTGGGTCCGTACACACACTTAGAATTTCACATTGCACTACAATAATATATATCTCATCGATAAATCTCAGGGGAAATAAAGCAATAAACTGGATTTTTTACTGAGAACTCTAATTTCAATTTTATACAAATTCCAACGTGTAACTCAGAGTCTCAACTCTGCATATTTATGTGTCTGTATTTTTATTACGTGGAAACAGAGTGATTCACTTTGATACAGGCAGCTAGAAGCCAGTGTGTTACTTTTTATTTATTCAGAGATACAGCCTCCAACAGGTATATGGAAACCACACTCCTCTTCCTTCTCTCTCCAGTTTTTCCTACCAGCATGTTTTGAGAACGCAGGATAACCATACACACACTCTGCTACACTTATACAGAGGGACATAACTGATCGTTACTATTTTAGGATCCATACTAATGGCATGCTAAACACTAGAGACAAAGACAGGAAAAAATTCCCCGTGTATTTCATTACTGTTCATCAGCATACTCTCCAGACTTGGTATGTGGCACAAACTATTCCTCATTAGTATCTGCTACCAGGATGTGTCAGGCTTCAGAAATCGGCACAGACTGACTAAAATGACATGAGATAAGCACTTCACTGCAAAATAAAGTATGTATCAAAATATGTTCTTGCACGTACTCTGTTCTTGATTCCAATAGTGGCTTGGTACCTGAGACAGAAGAATCAAAACCAAACTAAACTAAACCAAACCAACAATAAACAAATAAGAAAACCCACAACACAAACACTTAACCTCACCAAAACAGCTTCACACGGTGACAGGATCCATTTTTAGCTATCTCAGTGCAAGACACCAACTTAACATGCACCTACTTTACTTGACCTGTTTTCTCCAGAATTTTCGAACTTCTCTTTCCCAATCCTTTCCTCTGAAAACTGTAAGCTTTGGCATCAATTTAGCACGTAGCTTAGTTTTGGCATATGGACAAGCCCTCAGAGCAAAAGGATTTATCTTGTTCAGGTTAGAAGTTGACAGTAACCTTGAATTTGACTTATGTTATTTGCCTTCTTATCGACTCTTTCTCCTTTCCATTACTTTAGCCCCTAATCTCTTTAGAAGACAGGATTATTTTACTTATTTTCTCGACATGTTCAAAAAACCTTGTTGTGTAGTTTTAATCTACTCACTAAATGTACAGTCAACAGCAATCTTTTTGTTGGCTTAATATGATCCAAAGGCTACTTAAGAAAAAAAAAAAAGTTCTCAAATACATCATTCAGAGATATTATTCTATTTGTAAGTAGCAACTGAGTGCACCATTTCAGGAGCAGCACTTGCCAACAGAAGTCCTACACAAGCAGGTTTCTTTGTTTTCATTCTCTCTTGTGTTTACAGGACTGCTGACCCAAAATGCTCCGTACCAATAGTTCATTCTAACACACATCACCTCAAAAAGTCAGCAAAATCCAAATTCTGACCAGTGTTGCTATTCTGAAATCACTATCATCTTGATATATTGCATAGGAAATAGATAACAGCAGCTGGAATTGAAAAAGAGATACATAATCCAGCTGGACAGGATGATACAAGTCAAGTAGAAATGAAGGGTTAGACGCTCTTTCCTCTGAACAGAGCAGTTCACTCAGAAGCAGCAACAAAGATCAAAGTACCAGGGTGGAGACAGTTGGTTTGGGGTCTCTCCATTGTATGATTTGGTTGAGCTCCCTGTG